GGGGGGGGGGGGGGGGGGGGGGGGGGGGGGGGGGGGGGGGAGAGGCCGTCCTAGGACTTGGAGCTGGCCCTTTGTCAGTGTGCCATTGAGGCCTCCCAGAAGCCCCTTGAAACAGATGCCATTACTACCATCTATAGAGAGTAAAAGGGGGTAAGAGCAGGCAGAGTGTATGCTCTAGGTCATGAGTTGGCTCAGGCGACTCTTTCTGCTCCAGGCGAGGCTTGGTGGTGTGTGGCTGAAGCCTACATAGTGAGTGCATCACCTAGACGGCTGGCCCTGGCAGCCCAGTCCAGGGATGAACCTTAGAGCGCAGCACATGCAAGGGTTAAAGCGCCAGGAGGGGCCCTGAGGACTGTGGCAGCAGGTGGCCTGCCTGGGTCTGGTCCCATGCAGGTTCGTCCTCCCATACCCTTCTTGCCCTGAGAAACTTGAGCTCCATTTACCCCTCCCCCACTCCTCATCTCTGCTTCTTTGATGCCTCATGAGTTTGTGATTTTTGACAAGGTTGCCCTGCCACTCTCCAGGAAGACTAGATTCATCTGTGGGGGTCATCCCTGGAGACAGCCCTAGTGTCCCAGCCTGCGTCAGAGTTTGGGCAGCTGTTCCTAGCAGGAGCCCTAACATTCAGGGAGCCACCTTAGCAATGCCAAGCAAGAGAACCCCACCCAGGTGAGCCAGAGTTGCTGAAGGTAGCCTGGGCCAGCCTATGGCAGCCCCATAGGCTTTTCTTTACCTCCCCCACCTTCCAGGCACAGCTTCCTCTCATCTGCCTCACTCTCTTACAATCCCTGTTCAACTCACTCCAGTTCTGTCTCCTACCTGGGCGAGGCAGTCCTGGAGGATGGAGGAGCCACAGCCCTTGGGAACCCTCTCTGTCCTGTCTCGTGAGGCTTACACGATCCTGAGTGTGTGGCTAGCTATACCTGAGTGTTAGCTCTCCACTCAACTCACTTCAGAAAGAAAGGGCAAGCCCAGCGAGGTGGTGCAGACTTCTAATCCCAGCACTCTGGGAGGCAGAGGCAGCAGGATCTCTGTGAGACCGAGGCAAGCCTGGTCTACAAAGTGAGTGCAGGACAGTCAAGGCTACATAGAGAAACCCTATCACAAAAAAACAAGAAAGAAAGAGAAAGAAGAAAGGAAAGGAAAGGAAAGGAAAGGAAAGGAAAGGAAAGGAAAGGAAAGGAAAGGAAAGGAAAGGAAAGGAAAGGAAAGGAAAGGAAAGGAAAGGAAAGGAAAGGAAAGGAAAGGAAAGGAAAGGAAAAAGAAAGGCCGGGCATGCCCACTAATGCCCTGTCCTGTGGAGGTTCACCTGCTGGCTCTCGTGCGTCCGGTGCATGCCCGCACCCTTCCTCGTTCAGTCATTCTCTCAACAGACACAGAACTATACATGTTTATCAGTGTCAGTGGGTTCTGTGGGGTAATCCCTCTGTGGGGTCCCGGAGAGCTGGGACTGGATTAGGATTAGGTGGTTACAGTGATTGGGGAGTACTATCGGGACAGGAGTGTCAGCCCTGCCAGGACAGCCCTGCTCAACGAAGAACACACTTGCACCAGGGAACCTCTCAGGGCTCAGGGCTCAAGACACAGGTGTGAAAACCATCTGAGCGGAGGCACCCCATATGCTTCGCTACCTCAGTTAACTTGAGTACGCACGCGCAGGTCTGACCCGCTTCCCGTGCGCAGGTCTGACCTGCTTGTGCGTGGGAACCTTCCAGCTTGTCAGGAAGGTTCCCTTTGTAGGAATGGACCCACAGTGTCCAGGGGACAGGCATTTTGAAGCCAGTGGCAGCAATTGCTGGGCCTGATGTTGGAGCTTCATTGGTCTGGCCTTCAAAACCAATTTCTTTATTTTGCCCTTGGTTTTGGCACTATGCTTCTTCTTAGCCAAAAGCCCAAGAAGCTACGCTGGCCTTATTTTTACAACCGAGTCTCCTGTAGCCTAAAACTCACTATGTAGCCGAGAATGACTTTGGACTTCTCGGCCTCTGCTTCTGTCTCTCTCCTGGTTTGTGTGGTATTGGTGACTGGAGCCCAGGCTCCATGCTAGATGAGGACGCTACCACCTGAGCTGCATCGTCAGCCACAACAGCGGGACATGCTGAACGTTTGTCTGTCATGATTCCGCGTACAGGTGAATCAAGCTGTCCCCTGTAACCTGGGCATGGTGGTACGCACCTAGAATGCCAGCACCTGGGGCACAGAAACAAGAGAATCACAAGTTCGGGGCCATGTGATAGCCTGTCTCAAAAAGGAAAAACAAAACAAAAACCCAAACAATAACAACTACAACAACAACAAAACCTTTCATGTAATCTTTATTATTTATTTTTTATGGTTTTCTTTGTTTAACTTTTAACTTTATTTATTTAGTTGTTCATTTTACATCCCACTTGTAGGCCTCATCTGTCTCTCCTCCTGGTCACACCTCCTCCCCTTAATGTAATCTTGACACAACAATGAGTGAGCCTGTGGCAAAGATTGCTATTTAGCTCGTTAATTAATGAGGAGTCCGTAATTCCAAGTGACCCTGTGAGCACAAAGAAGGAATGTTGAGAGCCTTCACAGCTGAGCAGAGATGCAGGTCCCTGGCCACTTGTCATGTCCACCTACTCCCTTCCTGGGGGCAGGGGTCCGGTGCAGGACATCAGAGGTCAGAGGTGTGGACAAAGCAGGAAGCTCTGAGCAAAGCCCAACAGGACAGCTGAGCCTTCGTCCCTTTCCCTGCCTCCCTCAGCTGCGTCTGACTCAACCGTCCGGCCCTCCTGGTGTCCAGTGCAGGATTTTAATTATTTAGAAACAGTGTGTGGGGTCGACCCTAGCACACACGGTGCTGTGCTGGACTAGTGAGCTAGGTATTAGGAAGAGGAGGCTCGGGGTCCTGGGGCTGAGGATTCAGACTCTTGTCCTCAGCCACCCAGAGCTCCCCCTTGTCCACAGGGCAGCTGCGGAGCAGGTGGATGGAGGCTATGGGGTCCTCATCACAACCTTGGAAAATTTCTTAGCTTCCTTGTTCCCCTTCTGTAAACCAGAAGCAGCCGCAGCTCCCACAGTGGCTGGAAGATACAGCTGGAGCCTGGTATACATGGGACTCATGGAAAGGACTTGTGTGCTCCCTGTCCCCAGCTCACCACCGGCTGGGGACAGAGTGACATAAGCATTTCAGACACAGGGTTTGAGAAGCTGGGAGGGTGAGAGGGAAAGCAGGTCAAGGGGAACTTGAGGGACAGCCATCTTCAACAGTTCTGCTTCTTTAGTTTTTAAAACTTCCGTCACACTCTCTTTAAATATAACAAAACCCCAGGTCTACATCTTCCTTCTGCCCAGCTGTGGTGTGGCGGTGTGTGCTGTGGTGTGGTGAGATGCACACCAGCACTTGGGAGGTGGAGGCAGGAGGGTCAGGAGTTCAGACTCAGCTGCGTAATAAAGTAGAAGTTAGCAGGGCTACAGGAGACCCTGTTTTGGAGAAAAGGAAAAAAAATACTTGGTCATTTCCAACCTTTCATTTTTATGTGCTTTAAAATGATCACCAGATGCCTTTTAGCCCTGTTCATTAGAAGGCCAAAGGCCTGTTTCTGAAGTCTTCCTCTCTCCTTCACTTGTGCTTTCTGCGGCCGACCTACCATGAGGGGACAGAAGGCAGGTGGGCCTGGTTTATCCTACCCGAGAGCTGCTGAAACTCCTGAATTTGGGCCCTGGCATTTGCCATCGCTTCATAAGAGCCTCAGCCATTTTCTCTCAAATAGCACCTCTGCCCCGTTCTGTCTCTCCTCTCCTTCTGGGGTTCGTATTATACGTACGTTGAACTTCACTACCCTGTGTTAGTCACGGAGACTGCGCAAATTGGAAGGAGGAAAAGCTTGTTTCGGCTCTCAGTTTTGTAGTCTTTAGTCCACCGCCGTCCTTTCTTGTTGCTGTGGGCCTGATAGGAACACATGGGATGCAGCCTGGCCCTGTGTACCTCACCTCTGAGAAGGGAGATGAACAGGGATTAAGGTCCCAGCATTCCTTTCGAGGGCACACCCCACTGTCTAACACCCTTCTACTGCATCTCAATGGCGCCACAGACTGGAGACTAAATCAGGCCCCTGCAGGATGTCTGTATGAATGAGCACATCTGCTGTGTTCTCTGCTTCCTTTCTGGGTCTCTCTGCAGTATCTGTTACTTTTTTTAAAGTTATGTTTTGAAATTAGCTCATTAACCAGTGGCTTCCCATGTGGCATTTTCAGGCATCCTTAGCTTTGGGTAACCCACCCACTGCTTCCGTCTCTCCTCACCCCACCCTCACTCCTTTAACTCCCAGAATCTACACACACACACACACACACTGCTTCTTGCCCCCCCACACACACACGCTGCTTCTTGCATGTCACATGTATTCTGCTATCCTTGCAATTACTTTTCAGCTGGGTTGCAAGTTTGGCTTCCACATGGCTTTTCACCCACCATCCCTCGGGGTTAGCCTTCGAAATCATTTCCACCTTCTATGCCTCTCCCTGCTGGGTTCCAATGCTCCACTTGATTTTGTCTAACCTCCCCTCCCTCCCCTAATGTGGGCCCTCCAGGCCCCTCTGAGCTGTCTGGCATCTACTTGTGCTTCAAGTTAAACATACACGAGACTTGAAGCTGGATCCACGTACGAGAGAGAACATGTGGGGTTTCTTTCTAGGCCTTGGCCACCTCCTTCAGTATAAATTTCCCCGTGGGTAAGTTCTGACCAGTGTGCTCTTCACTAGTTCAGCCTCAGTTCTTAGTTGCATTCCTATCTTTATGCCCCATCTGTCTAGTTTTCAATCTATTGTATCAAGCTTTTTTGGTTTTGTTTGTTTGTTTGTTTTGAGAAAAGGTGTCCTGCATCGCAGGCTGGCCTTGACCTCACTGTGTAGCTGAGGGTGGCCTTGAACTCCTGGTCTTCCTACCTCCACAGCTGTGCACCGCCACGCCTGTTTACGGTGCCAGGCCTTCGTGCACACCACGGGAGCGCTCTGCCAGCTGAGCCACATTCCAAGCCCTGCAGCCTACATTTTCACACTTGGGTTTTCTTTGGAAGCCACGATCATGGTGGTTTTTCTGGACCCATTTGTTAGGGTCAATCGGTTCTCATTTCCTTGCTTTATTTCTATGAATTGTGCTGGGCAGTACAGTTGGAGAATGGTCTGTAGGTGTAGTTGGAGTGATTTCTTATTACCTTTGCCAGGCAAGTGTGAGAGCCACAGCCTGGGTCTGTTTTAATCTTCGTGCCAGAATGGAGGTGCCTGGGCCTCCTTGAAGCATGAGGTAGTCAGCTGACTCATAGGTGTCCTGAGCCTGTAATAGGAGGTTGTCAGCCAGCCTGCACTGTGCAGCTCCTGGTCTCCTCGGTCCCTAGTTCTTTAGGCTACTGGGGGGAGAGCCCTGCTGGTCAATACCTTTGCAGGACAAGGTGGAGCTCAGTGTTAGGCTGAGCCCTCCTGCAGCCTCCTCCTCTCCTGGCCTAACCTAGTCTGCCCTCAGTTCTTTAGCCTCTCGGAAGCTTTCGGAAGGCATGTTGTACGTGTCACCCTTGGGCTGGCCCCTTGCTTCTCCCTTCTCCGCAGTGGCCCATTTGCTCCCCAGTTTTCTCCTGCTATGGCCTCCTCAGATGTCCAGGCTGGCACCTTGGTCATCTCTCCCCAGCCACCTCTGCTCACAAGTCCCAGCACCTAGGGGGTCCTTCACACTGCCAAAGTCCTCCTCCCCCACCTACACCCCTGTCACTGCTGCCACCCACTCCAGCTGTACCTTCTCTGTCCATCACTGCCTGGGGCCAGGCTTGGTCCCCGTCCTCCCCATATCCTCTGCTCTGCAGACCCCATGACCTTCCCTCCAGGGCACTCAGCCCCTCCTGATACCCCAGGAGTCTCCCAGAGCTGATCCAGCTTAGACGGCTTATGCCTCAGGTATGCCTTGCTTCATTCATGAACTCAGCTAGCCTGCTGACCTAAGAAAGATGCCTCAGTCACCTCTGGAAGGGGTCTATGAGGGAAAAAACTGAGCCATTGGTAGGTTGCTGAGTGACCAAGCCTGCAGGCAGGGAAGGGGCCTGAATGTCCGCACTGACACCCAGCGAGCCATGTGTGTCATAGAACATCCCTTTCTCCACAGTGCTGCCAGACCCTGCTCTCCCACCACGTAGACCCCTTCCTAAGGGATGAAGATGGGTACACAGCCTTGGACCTGGCCGAGTATCACGGACACCAGGATTGCGCCCAGTACCTTCGGGAAATGTCTCGGCCGGTAAAGCCTCAGGGGCTCTGTGTGTCCTAGAGGACACACCTCTCTCACCTCCAACACTGGACAGGGGCCAGGCTGCGGGGGGGGGGGGGGTTGAGCCAGGGTTGGACAAGCTATGCCTGCCGTATGAACCACAGAAACGGTGTCGTGTCTGTGTCTTGGGGATGTTACTTCTGGCTGAGCATGCCCAGGGGTGGAAGTAAGACCCCCACCCTGGCTGACTAACCCTCGGGCCGCCTGTCATGCTCCAGTGGCGGGAGGCCCACCTTAGTCTCCCGCCTCTCAGAGCCGGATCCTCCACTATCCTAACTGGGCAGGGTCCAACAGGGGTTTGCTGACTGAACAGATAAAGGAATTCACAGAGAAGGGGTGATGTGAGTAGGTGGCCAGAGGGAGAAGACGGGGGAGTGGGCAGGCTTGGGGTGTTCCTTGTGGATGTAGTTTGGTGACGTGGACCCAGCTCTTCCCAGTGCTCTCCCCACACCCCAATTCTTCTCCCCTGATTCAGCCCAAGGCAGAGACCATGATAATTTTGTTAGTTCTCACTAGTGACCTGTCCCAGCCGTGTGTTGGTGAGGGGACTGAGGTTCAGGAAGTGAAGGAACCCCTGGGGCTCGCTGAGGAGATTCTGTGTTTCTCTCTCCATCTGGCTGTCCCCTCAGAATGTCGGGAACCAATTGAAAGAGAGCCCTCCATGGCCCTTCGGCCTACACTAGGCTCCTCATGTGATCCTAACCAAACTTTACTGCTTGAAGTCTGCAGCAAGCCCTGCACAGCGTGACACAGTTCAAGTAGGCCATGAGGACTCTTGTGGGGCTCCCCCGGGGGTGGAAGTCTCAGAATCTAGGATTCAAGTTTTGGAAATGGGCCAGTGACTAAACATCAGGCCGTGGCTGTCAGTGCCGGATGCTTGCTCTGGCTGAGACTGAAGCAAGTGGTGACATGGCTAGCTTCCGGAAAGTGAGCAAGAATGCACATTCTGGGCCCAGAGAGAGCCAGCCTCTGGAAATACCAGGCTTCTGTCCTCACTGAGATCTACCCTGCCCTGGGTAGCAGCTGAGATCAGGAGGTGGGAAGGGCAGCCGCTCTCCCGTGCCCATTGCAGGAGCACCTACTCCCCTGGACCAGGTCTCATCCAGCTTCCAAGAGTCTGACTAGGCCCCACCCCAGGCATGATGGGAATTCCAAGGCTAGCGTCTCGTCCAAGCAAGCTCCTGGCCTTCCATCTTCACAGCCGGATGTAGCCAGCCCCTCCTGAACCTAACCTCACCTCAGGGAGAGGGTCTCTGCATCTTCCCTTCCCCACCCTGCCCTCAGCTGAGGGCAGCGAGCCCCTCTTGCCTTCCTATGGTTGATCTGGTCCTAGCTGTGTCTTTGAAGCTGTATGGGACCCGAAGCAGCACCTCCCAGCTAGCCTGGGCCCTGCAGTACCTGGCACTCCCGAATCTGCATGGATGCCTCCCCTGTGGCTTAACACAGCTCCTCCATTTCCTGTACCCAACATTTTCCTCCCTGCTTGTAGGTGAGCACCCTGCAAGCCTGACACTTGACCCTGTGTGGACTCAGTGGTGTCTATCCGGGGGTCATGCAGAGCTTCATACTTAGGGCCAGAGCTTGGTGATGCCGGGACGCCGTCTTGACGGTGCCTGGTGACAGCGAGGGGTGCCCGACTCCGCCACCGCTGAAGCTGCCCCACCTCGTGCGGGAGGGCAGGCTGAGGCCGGCGGCAGGGGGAGCGCGCCTGATGCAGTATTGATGGAAACGCAATCTGCAGAGGTCGTCCGCGCTGGCTGTCTCCTGTGGGCCGAGGAGACGGTGAAATCCATTATTCCCCGGACACCACTGTCCTGAGATGCTCCCAGGGGACTTGCGGGCCCAGGAGAGGCAGCTTGAGTGCGAGGCTGTCAGTGTCAAGAGCGGTTCCCTGAAGGCGCGCCTTCAGCGACCACTTTACATCAGGGGTCTGTGGGGCCCTGGCAGACCCTCTGCTGAGCGTAGGGTCTGCATGGAGCCCTGGGCAAATTCAGGCCTTGCTTCTCCCTGGGCCTCGGTGTTTCTCTGTGCGGTGGGAGGTTCGGCCTCTTTTCCTAAGTGGGACAGAGGCCAGGTGGCTACTGAGGCGGTAGCCTGTGCCCACCTCTCTCAGTTAGTTGGTAGCCTGGTTCCCTGGTGTCAGTTAGTTGGTAGCCTGATTCCCTGGTGTCAGTGGGGGTCTGGGGGTTGCTTCAGACATGTTAGCCATTCATAACAACCCTAGATGGATGACATCTGTGCATGCCCCCAAGCCCAGGGAATGCGGCCCTCATCCCTCATGGTCTGGGCTGCCCGGTTTGCCTACCTTATACTCAGTCCCACCAGTGGGGTGCTGGATCCTCTTGGGCACCTGGCACCAGCCTTGAGTTTCTCATCCTCAAGGCAGGTCTGAAGCCCTTGTTTGGGGGCATAAGCAATGTCCCTCTTCTGCTCTGTTGTGATGGCGTCAGCTTAGTCTCCCCTCTCTCACTGCCGAGGGCCCTAGGGCCCCTTCATAGACACTCGGGGAAACTGGAGCTAGGGAAGGCTGGGGACTTCCCTGGACAGAGCCTTGCCTCAGGGTGGAGTGGAGGTGGCTGCCCACAGTAATGGAATCTCAGCTGTGGTGAACGGTGTCCAGCTTCGTCTGAGGTCATGATTTTCTCGGCCCGGGTGGCATTACAGGCCTGTAACCCAGCTCTCCACAGCTGCCCTCCATGATTAATGCATGGCAGGCTCAGCAAATGCTCAAATCTCACCCCAAACAAGGAAAGGGATGGCAGGCAATGGAGCCAGAGGGACTGCCACCCTCAGAATGGCCGTCCCAGGCATGATATGCCCAGCCATTAGGACTAAAGGATGGAGTCTGACACCTGCCCGCCCCCTCCCCATAGCAAGGATTCCCTCAGGGTCCATGGCCAAGACTGGGAGGCAAGGATGCGGGGTTCCCGCTGCCTGGAGGGCACCGTAGTCACGCTTCCTCCTGCCCACCATCGGAGGGTCGGCGCTAAGCAGTTTCCTGTATGCGTAGAGTCAGACGTTCCCATCCTGGTTCACCGTCAACAGCCCTGCCGAGACATGGCAAGAAGAGCCACAGGGCCCATTCAGACCAGGGTCCTGTGGTCCTCAAGCTGTGGGGCTGTTCTGAGGCTGAAGTCCATTCTCCCAGCCCAGGCCGACATCCAGCCTGAGGAGGCTGTTGCCAACCCCACTAAACCCCCTGATCTTTCTGGGATGAGGCAGGCAAGGGCCCTTTTTGCCCATTCTCTTGACAGAAGATTGAATGGCAGGGAAGGGAGCTGAGGCTCCTAGACGAGGGGGCCTTTGTCCCCAGGCTCCCTAGTTGATATGCTGATGGTCCAGATGGCTGCCATGTGTATCGGCCGGCCGAGGAGCCCTGAGCCTGGGACAGCTCCACAGCAGAGTGAGCAGCATTCCGATAGTTCCTGTCCTGTGACATCACCCCCGCAAGGGTCAAGCTCGGAGTCTGCAGAGAGATTGCCAGACCCCAGAGCTTCTGCTGACACTCCCTCAACTGTGTGCGGCTGTGAGAGCCTGGTTTCCCACTATGTGCTGGGAGACACTGTGTTGGATCATCTTAGGTCCTCCACGTCCCAGAGGTCCGTACCTAGCCCTCTACTGTGGGGCGGAAGGCTCCGTGGTAAGGGATCCCACACCTGGCCCCAGCCTGCTGGCAACCCGACACCTGGACCTTCAAATATTAATGCGATACCTCCCACTCCGGGACACAGCAACAGCCCCTGACAGCTGGGACCGGGACAACCACAGCCCCTGGTGCTCGGCTGCCCAGCATTTGCTTCTGAGAGCTGCCCAGGCTGAAGCAGGCAGATGTTCCAGCCCTGCAGGCCCACGTGCAGGCTCCTGGGCTCTGCAGACTCCCAGGAAAACTGAGGTGCACAAGAGGGCATACGGGGTTCATGCTGCTTTCTTTTCCCTGTGACCTGGTGAGCTGAGGGTGTTGGGTGGTGCGGGAGTGAAGAAGCTGTTTGCCTGGGCAGTGCAGGCTGCCACACTGTGTGTGTGGGGGGAGCAGGCAGAAGACCATCTCTGCAGGTGTGGGTAAAAGTTGGAAGCAGGTGCAGCAGAGGTTCCTGACAGAGCTTGGCTGTGGGTCACATATTCTGAATCACAGCTGGTCCAAGGCAAAGCCCCTGCCCTGCTCGGGGGGGGGGGGGGGGGAATCTCACCAGTACCATTTTTGGGGCCTGCCACTTCTGTGCCCGGGAGGGAGGTGTTGAGGCTTAGACGTGACTGTGGGGTGGATGTCATGTGTGCCCTGTTAGCTGCAGCCAGGATTCTGGGTATCCACATGCCAGAAGGGCTCCGACATTAACTCAGCCCTTGGAGCTCAGGTGTCCCCATCCTCAAGAAGCCTTCCACATCATCTCTCAGCCAAAAGGTGCCAAGCCCAGCTCGGAGGAAACAGGGATGGTGAGCCAAGCTCCATTCTTCGGGCCTCACATCTCCTCTTAGGCAGCACCAGTAGGAGGAACAGGAACCTGAGCTTCCTGGGTCAGGCGCCACAGCTGAGCCTGAGCAGAGCTGCATTGGGCAGCACATTCAGGTCGATGGCTCATCTGGCGGTCAGCACCTGAGGACAGTAGGGGTGGCCATGGATGGTCAGCTACCCAAGCTAAATGGGAGGGGCGCCTCTCCACGTTTGATGTTTCTGTTTTGGTGTGGCATGGACACTGAAAGCAGGTCCTGACTTGCACCTTTGCCTGTGGCATATAGTCCCTGCTACTCAGCCCTCACGTGTGGGCTGAAAAGAAATTCAAGTATCCGATCTTGCCTCTCTACCCAGCTATCTTCTTAGTGGCTGGACAAGCCAATCTGTGGCGCAGTAGTTCTGGGAAGGTTGAGCAGCTTGACTGTCCAAGGCCAGGCTCTCTGAGGTGATACCTCAGCCCTGGGCATAACTCAGAGTCCGTGCTCAGGCTCCCTGGACCCTATGTGGCCTAGTAGAGGGAGCCTGAAGCACCAATATCCTTACTTGAAAAAGGGCTGATGGGCCTATACGGCCCTGCCGCTGCCTTCCTTATTGGAGCTCACTGACTCCCTCCCCTACGTTATCCTCTTGCTCACGTCAAGGATCCAAGGATCGGGAGCCAGGTGAGTCTCAGCCCCAGGGAGCCAAGCTCAGCCCCAGGGAGGCGCACATGCCCGCATGTGTCCATGCTCCCATCGGTGTGGAGCTGGGAGAGGTGAGCACAGCTAACTCAGGAGTTAGCCCTGGAGTGAGGTTCACCTAGCACGCCCTGAGCTGGGCCCTGAGCTGGGCCCTGAGACAGGTGGAGGGCACAGTCTGCTAGGAAACCCAACCTCTCAGCACAGGTGGGCAGGGAGGCCAAGAGGGGCAGGATCCTGGGCCTCCCTCTTGCACGTGTCTCTTCTGAGGTCCTCTCTGAGTTGCACAGGCCCCCAAGACGCCCTGCACACTTGCCTGGCAAGGCTGTGACAGACCCCAGTCCAGACTCACTGCTGACTAGGTGTCTCCACCCCCAGGTGCCAGTCCTGATGACACCCCCGCCCCCACCATTTCCACCTCCTCCACTGTTGGCTGCAAGGCTCTCCCTGGAAGATGGAAGAAGAGAGGACTCAGGACTCAGGAGTCCCTCGCGTGAGTGCTTGGCCACAGAACTGCTCTGGGCAAGGTGTGGAGGGAAACAGAAGCCAGCTGGGAGGACCTTCTCGGAGTTGCTGGGCTGGGGAGGACCTTCTTGGAGGAGCTGGGCTCGGGCAGCTGAGCACATAGGGTCAGCCCTTCTCAGAAACTCTCCTCCCAGGGTTCTTTTGCAGTCTGACATTTTCTATCTTTGATACCAAGACCACAGTAACATGAGCAGAAATGAAAGCAGCTGGTTTCAGTGGAGCTCAGGCCAGAGACCTCAGCAGGCCAATGAGCATCAGGAGGAGGGAGGGCCTGCCCTCTGAGGGTCACCACCCTTAGAGGAGCGTGACCAGCCCTTATCAGAATGCAATTGGATGGCGTGAAGATATTAGCAGGTGCCACACGCAGTGAGGCTTTGTCTTGACCCATGGGCACGTTGCAGCTACTCGCTCACGTGTAGGAGCTGGTGTCTGCCCGTGTGGGCAAGCGTGTGTCTGTATGTGTCTGTGTCTGAGTGTATGTCTTATGTGAGTGTACATTTATAGCTCTTTGTATGTCTGCATATGTACTTGTGTGTCCGCACATAAGCATGTCTGTGTCTGCATGTGCATGCATGTGCCAGTCTGTTTGTGTTTCTGTATATGTGAGAGCGTGCCTGTGTCTGTGTTTGTCTACCTGTGTGTGTTTCTGTGTGTATGAGCATGTATATGTCTGTGTGTGTGTCTTCCTGTGTCCCTCTCTGTGAACATGCATGTGTCTATGTGTAGCATGTGTCTGTGTGTATCTACTTGTGTGTGTAAGAGAGAGTGTATGTCTAGCTGTGAGTGAGTGTGTCTGTGAGTGGGTCTATGTGCCTGCTTAGGTGTGACACAGAGGTGACTTGCTTGGGGTTGTGGTGCTGGTGTGTGTTTATAGTGCAGAAGGGACGTGGGTAGGAGGAGGACAGGCTTTGGGGTCTGACAGGGCTGGGTTAGGTCCCAGTGCCTTCAGGTCTTATGGCTCTGCCCAGGCTGCAGGGAAGTTGGGAGGGGCTATGGCAGGAAGAATCAGATAACTACAGGCTTTCCAGGTAGCCAGAGTGGGGCAGGCCCTTTTGAGGCCTCCGTGAGAGGCCCAGTGGTAGCATTTTGCCTCTGACCCCAAGGGGACTTTGGGACAGGGCTTCAGGGTCTTGAGCTCCTGTTAGTGTTCCTGGAAGGGCAGGGCTAGCCTGGGTCCAAGAGCTCCAGCTGGTGTCTCTGTTCTCCTGTGCCCCTGCCCTCTGATGCCCCTCTGACTCCAGCTGTCTTTAGCAGCTGTAACTCTCAGCCCAGACTGGCCTGGTCAGCCTGTCCCAAGGGAGCCAATGGCCTGCACAGCCCCTCTGAGGGTCACGTCCAGTGTCCCCACTGCCCCTCAGGTGAGTCTCTGCTCTTCCCTCCCTGTCTCTCTACCTCCAGGCTCCTATACCCCATGCTTTCTCAGCCCAGACAGCTCTGACCACCTCAAGTTCTGCGGAGACAAGAATGTCAGGGAAGCAGCAGCCAGGCCCTGTCTTGGGAACAGAGCCATTCTCTGTCATCCCAGAGTCCTGACCTCTGGACTCAGGGTCGGAAGCTGCTGTCACAAGAGGCAACCAGATACCTTCAGAAGGTCCTGGAGCCCGCTCCTCTGGAGTTTCCAGTTAGCCCTCCTTGCTCACCCCAACTTTTCCAGTCCCGCCTTTCCCTGGGTTCCAAAGGACTCTTAGAATTGCCCAGTGATGCTGGTCCGCACACAGTTCAATAAAGGCTCTGATAAGTCCTGCAGACCTGGTGACCAGGCAGTGTCAGCACGTTTTTACCATTTAGCTGTCTTTATACGGTATGCTCTAGGTAACCTTATCTAGGCCATGTTAGACCCCCTCCCCCAGTTCAGGGGGGAGGGGCACATCCTCAAACTCAAGGCCCGGCCTTTATTAGGCTAGGGACCTCTTTCTCAAGCTTAGATCCGCTTAGGGCCTGCCACCTGCCTGTCTCTGCAGGGGCCTGACGTGGAAGCCTGGGACCCTCATGATGGCCTGGCCGCTCTGCAGCTGGATGGGTTGCCTTCAGGAGACCTGGACATGCTGGTGCCCACCCAGGACGAGCGTGGCCGGCCCATCCCCGAGTGGAAGCGGCAGGTGATGGTTCGGAAGCTGCAGGCGCGCCTGGGTGCAGACTGTCCTCCAGATCAGGTGCCACAGGAGGGGAAGGAGCCAGAGGAGGAGCACCGGGCCAGAGGGAGGGGCAGAGCCTGAAGGAGGAGGGTGGGGCTCACCAGAGGGCACTGGGGAGTTTGGTTGGGAATGGGGGGGGACAAGGAGTTAGAGTAGGTGGGGAGGAGGTGTGGGTGTGGGATAGTGGGGCAGGAGGTGGGAGGACGGAGGTGAGGAGTGGGATGAGGAGGTAGGAACATGGCCGCTGAGTGCCATCAGGGGTGGAAGGTGCCAGTGGGATGCCCCAGTCCAGACTGGGAATCCCCCCTGCTACTGTGTGGTCCCAGCTCCCTCTCCTGCCATCCTGTGGGTCACGGGGCTTGGGTCACGGGGTTCCAAGCAAGGCATTTATGGCCTCAGAGGAAAAGGCTCCACGGGTTCTGTCACCTACCGGACTGGGCTAACCCTACTGTCCTGCTGCTTAGATTGTTGCAGATACCAAAAGGAAAGTACAGTCCAGTGAGGGCAGGGTGTGTGGGCGAAACCATGGGGAAGGGTGAAGGAGTGTGAAGTGGGGGTCTGTGGGGGGGGGTCACCTCTCTGGGCAGGTGACCTTGAACTGGAGTTAGAGGGGAATGAGGAGGAACCCATTCGAGTTTGGGTCTAGGGTCTTTTGTGTTCTTGGCAGAAGGGAAAGCAAGGCCAAAGGTCCTGAGGTGAGGTGAGCAGGCCCCAGGACTGAGCAGTAGAGACTGCCGGATGGAGTGAACGGGTGGTTTGGGGGAGGGGGAGGCCTGCGGGGATCGAGGGTGTGCAGAAGGTGCCTGAGCAGTGAGGGGACTATGCTTTGGCCTGGCCTTTCTGGATACTGTCTGAACAAGCAGAGCTAGAATCCCCCCTCCAGGCGTGTGGATTGCACTGTGTCGCGGTTTAGAGAGGAACTGTCTAGACAACGCTGTCACTGGGGGCAACTGAAAGGAAGCTTTAAAGCCAAAGTAGGAACAGTCCATTGGGCCAGGCACGTCTCTTCCAGCCGCAGGTGCTAAGGACTCCTGCCTGCTGCATATGTTCAGCCTCCAAGAGTGTCTGCCTCCTGCCACATCTTCAGGACTGGGGCGCAGCAGGGCAGTGGCGGGAGGGCGGCCACCAGGAAGCCCCTTGGAGTCTAAGGGCGGGCTCATGGTTCCACAGGGACAAGAAGCTCTAAGACAGGGAGGAGGGTTGTGAGGGGTTTAGAGTGATGCCTTGCCTCAGGCAGAGGCCTCTGTGCTGGCCCCTTGCAGCCCGGACACTGTCTAGAGCAATGGTGTCTGTCCGGAGGCTGGCGAGGAGGTAGGCAGGGTTGCTCATCTTAACATCAAGGGCTGCTGGAGGCAGGCCATGGGGGGGCAGGCCGTCTCCATCTTCCCTCAGGCTCCGCTCTGGACTGGGTTGGCCAGACACCAGCTTCCCTTTGTAAAGCCAGGAGAGGGCCAGCTGGTGTCCAAGGGCCAGGCTGTGGGGAACCAAGCAGAGCACTGGTGAGTGTGAGCTGTAGTGGCTGCCAACCCAGCCTTCCTGTGCCCAGGACGAGGGCCAGAGCCGCAGCTCAGGCCGGAGCTCAGGCCCCGCCCCCGCGGAGCAGGCAACTTGGAGGTATTCGCAGACGCACCAAGCCATCCTGGGCCCCTTCGGGGAGCTGCTGACGGAGGACGACCTGATCTACCTGGAGAAGCAGATCAACGACCTGCAGCTCCGGCGCCGATGCCAGGAGTATGAGAGCGAGCTGGGCCGGCTGGCAGCGCAGCTGCAGGCCCTCCTGCCCGAGCCCCTGGTCAGCATCACCGTCAACAGCCACTTTCTGCCCCGTGCTCAGGGCCTGGAAGACGAGGAAGCCCCAGTCCCGGTGCCTGAGCTGGAGGCCTCGGCGGAGCCCGGGAAGGCCGAGGCCAGCGCGCAGCCGCTGCCCTTCTGGTGCAGCCACATAGGCCGCCTGGTGCGCAGCATGTCCCTGCTGCTGAAGGGCATGAACGGGCTGGCGCAGGGCGAGGAGAAGCCGCCCACCCCGGTCCGGCAGGACCCAGGCAAGGAGGCCGTGGCCTGCCCACCCCGGAGCGAGGCCCAGCGCGAGATCCAAGAGTGCGGGGTGTCGGTGCGGACGCTGCGGGGGAACTTCGAGTCCGCCCCGGATCTGCCCTGCGCCTCGAACTCGGGTCCCTGTGAGCTGGGGGCGCGGCCCGTCCAGTGTATGCGAGGCTGCTGGTCGGTGCCGCCACAGCCCCGAGGCGACCCAGTGGGCGGGGAGCCCAGGCCCGGCGACACGGAGGAGGCCAGCGACTCGGGCATCAGCTGCGAGGAGGCCCCGTCGGAAGCTGGCGCGGGGCCGGGGCTGGACCTGGCCAGCCTGCGCAAGGAGCGCATCGTCATGCTGTTCCTCGGCCACTGGAAGAAGTCCGCCTACACGCCCGCGCTCAGGACGGCCGCCTGCAGGACCCTGGAAGCCCGGCGTGCGCGAGCCGAGGGCCCCGCGCCGGCCGGGGCCTCGCGGCCACCCTCCCCGCAGCCCAGCGGCGGCCCCCGGCTCGGCCACCTGTGGCAGCAGCGTGGCATCATCACCCACCTGCTGGGCACCTGGAAAGCCATCATGGCGCACGTGCCGGCCCGGCAGCTGCGGAGGCTGAGCCGCAGGGCGCGCGGGCCGCTGTCCCCCGAGCAGTTCCTGCCGCACGTGGACGGGGCGCCCGTGCCCTACGACAGCCTCTCGCTGGACCTCTTCCTGCTCGGCTACTTCCAGCTCCTGGAATGCGACCTGCCGGCCGAGGAGCGCAAGATGCGCCACCTGCTGTGCTTCGAGGTCTTCGAGCACCTGGGCGCACACGGCTGGGAGGCCGTGCGCGCCTTCCACAGGGCGGTGACCGACGAGGTGGCCGCGGGCCGCCGGGCCTGGACCGACGGCTTCGAAGACATCAAAGCCCGCTTCTTCGGCTCCGCGTCCCAGGGTCCCCCCTGGGAGGGGCAGCCCGGCCGCGAGCTCGGCTCCTCGCCCCACGCTGCCCTCCCTGGCAGCGGCCCCGAGCCTGCGACTCGGAGGCTGGGGTCCGACTCCCAGCGGAGCAGCTTCAACAGTGGGGACATCTGTGGCTACATCGACCGCAGCTTCGCCTTTTGGAAGGAGAAAGAAGCCGAGATGTTTAACCTCGCAGACTGATGGTTCAGCGGGTAGAATGGGATTCTGGGGAGGTTTGGGGTTCCTCTTCTTCGTTCTTTGCACTCTCTGGGGGTTAGGTGAAGTGGGCTGGGTGATGGCTGACTCCAGTCCATCTTTACAGAGATCGGGGATGGTGTCCATCTCTTCTGAGCAGTGACTTGGGGTCAAAATCCTTCTCGTTTGTGAACACAGCCCGCAGGCCCTCAGCGGCCATGTGGGTCGGATGGTCCTACAGCCAAGGTCCCAGCACCAGGACCCCCTGCCAGTCTTGCTTTCAGCAGTCACGTGACTGTCTCTCCCTTCAGTTTCCACGTGCAGGTGCGCTCAGCTACACCAACAGCTTCTCCTGGTTAGTCATGGTCGCTGCTGTCCGGTGCTAGCAGCATCCTTCCTCGGGCACTGCCTGGTCCCTGAGGCTAGGCTCCCCATCAGGCCTTTGTCTTCTAGCTGACCAGCCCTTCCCAGACTCACAGCTGGAGGCAGTGGCAGGGCCACAGGAGGACTCTAGGAGCAGGGGCACCAAGAATGTCCACCAAGAGATGAGGAGTCCTCAGCGCAGAAAAGTTGGTTCCCTCTGAAGGGAAACTGAGCTTCTGAACCTGGGAGCAGCAAGGGCAGGACATGCCAGGGGTGTTCGTGGGGGCATGTGGGAGTCCCCACAGAATAGAGAAAGGAGCCAAACACCCTTGCGGATTCCAGGGACCATAGAGAACCACGGCAGCCTGGTGCTAGAGGGAGGCCGCAGACCACTGACTGCAAGATGGGGCTCTATTCCAGCTCCTGGTGACAGGCAGAAGAGCCACCGCCCAGCTCGTGGGGCCCAGGAGAACTGGACTGGAACCCATGGGGGACTTTGGGGTGGCTTTTTGAGAAAACTACAATAGGCCCTAGAGGCAAAGGCACAGACAATGGGAAAAGAGTCTCCTACGGTGTCCCCACCATTGGGGGGGGAGCAGGGAGCCCTAACCTTGGACTTTTGGATGACAATGCGCAGGCTGTTGGCTGGAGCAGAGCCTACAGACTTAAGACTAGGTAGGAGTCCCATGGCAAGAGACCTCCAGGGAGCTAAAGCTGGCATAGCTAATGGGTGTTGGTGCTGCAAGAGCCACAGTGGGCAGGCCTCCAGCCCTGGCCCTCCCTGTGACCTGCTTTGGGGTGACTAGGCCCTTGGCTTCCTTGGCTTCTAGAGCTTCATCAGGAGCTGGAGCTGGATGTGTGTTTGCAAAATAAAGTTCCTGTTTCTGGCTGGTGCATACTTGCTTATCACTCCAAGCCCTGGGGAAGCTGCCTGTGTCCACGGAGCCTGGCCGTTGAGTGAACACTCAGACCCTGGCTCACCCAGTGCAGCTGCAGCATATCAACCCCCAAAAGGATTCAGACTCCTCCCTACATCATGGGATCAGGGATGTGTGGTGCTGAGGCTGGCTTGCCATCCCAGGTCCTAGTGAGATTGAAGGGTTGGTGGGTGGGTTCTGCCCAAAGGCTGACTCAGATGCTCACTAGCCTGTGGTACTTCTGCAAGTAGACACTAGAGGGCAGGGCACCTATAGGGTGGCGACAGTCCTCTTTTCAGAGTGTAACAAAGGCTGGGTTGCAGGTTGGGAGGGAAGCAGACAGCCCTGCCTTGGGTCTCCTAGGCAAGAAGTTGGCACAGTCAGTCCTTATAGGCTTTGGGCCTCAGTATCTCAGCTAAAAGGTCAGACACATACTCTCAGGAACACCCACAAAATCTGGAGTATCTGGAGCTAGATGGGATGCCAGGCAAGGGAGGTTAGTGACTCTAGGCTTGTGGCCCAAACAGAAAGCAACCTAGAGATTCTGATGCCCTGGCCTGAGTGAGACAGGTAGCTGATTCTTAAAGACATTCTAGGTAACTCGGATGGCTTATCCAGCAGGCGAGGAGACCTGGCCCTCTAGCAGCTCACCTATGGGGAGCAGATGCCCCACATAGGCAGAGGCTAGCCCCCCTCAAGACTACAACCACAGTTGGACACATAAATCTGTCTCTGTGCTGGCAAAACCCCACTGAGGACCCAGAGCCCCTTAATACTTGTCCTTGAGGTTGAGGCCACAGAACAAGGCTTCCAGGTGAGTTAGGACCCTTTTGTCAGTCTGTAAATGTGTGCAGAGTGAATACACGGAGAAATAGAAACCAGGCCAAGGTGAGCCAAGGTGCATGAAATAATGCCGTTCCCAGATCGGCAAGGACGCATCGCAAAATTGATATTTTCAGAAACAACCATGAAGTTCATTTCAAAGAAGCACAGACAAAGGAAGTGCCCTGGTTTGCACGTGAGCTCGCGTTTGGACTCCTGGTCCCAGTGGGTTGTCCTGTCTTGGTAGGATGTGGAACCTAATGAAGATAGAAGCTGAGCAGAGGAAGTAGATCACTGGGGAAGGCCTTGAGGTCTTATAGCCCAGGTCCAGTGTCTGTCTGCTTTCTATTTCCTGATTCCGACACAGTGTGATACCTGCTGCTCCTGCTGCCATGGTCTCACCACCATGACGGACTGCGTCCCCTCAAACTGTGAGCCAGTATAAACTCTCCTTCTTTAAGTTGCTTCACCACAACAAGAAAAGTAACTGATACAGAAGCTATGAGGCCAGCCTCTAAGAAGGTCCCCAGAGACCCTGTCTCTGCGTAGTCACGGCTCATCATCCCCTCCCCCCAGAATATGGCAGATGCTGGGGTGTCATCTCTGATCAGACCATGAAAAATGCTATGACTGCAGTTCTGTGGTGACTTCTCTCTACACCTCCAGGAAGCCAGTCAGGTGAGGAGACAAGCTGTGAAGACACAGGGGTTGGGGTGGGGATTCAGTCTTCCCCACTAAAAGCCCAGCAGGTTTCCAATCCAGAGCAGCCTTTACAAGACCAAGGCCTGAAGGCCCCTTAGTGCAGTCTGATGGGACATTCTCAAAGGACCAAAGTGGTACTTGTGTGGCGCTGCTCTTTCGAGACACTAGGTCTGGGGGCAAAGTGTTACCCAGCAAGAGCTGACAAATACAAAAGGAAAGCCCAGAAAAGGAGCTTGCCTCTCACCTGTGGTGTCATTATCATGGAAGAGCAGCTTTCCAGCGAGGTGGTTCTGACCCAAGAACAGGGAAGCCTGACTCTCCACACAGGGAAAACACGACCTGAGATAAAAGTGCTTCGGCCAATCACAGGGTCTGAAGAAGGGCTGGTAGCAGTGTGGAGCATCGTAGCTAACCGCTGAAGGGGGAGAATGTGTTTACGCAGCTCCATCCCCAAATCAATTTACATGCACCCAGAGGCAGAGCCCAGGCTGTAAAATCTGAGGTGTAGGAGGCAGCCCAGCCTGTGAGGCCCTATCCTGGACTGGCCTCACAGCCACAGATAGGTCCACATACCACAGAAGCCAGTGTGGCTCCTCCAGGACTGTTCCCTCTGGTGCGACCTGGACCTTTTAAAGATGGTGGCACAGTTTACTTTGGTGAATTCACACTTGGCGTCTATTTGGGGAAATAACTGCATAGCTGATTCTCTTCATCACAGCGTCTAAAATGGAAAATGACCCAGAAGCCCGTGAATAGGAGCTGGGCCTCGTGTGACCCCACCTTAAATTTCATCCCTGTCAAGATGAAACTTAAACCCATGTTTTCAAACTAATCTCCTCCAAACTCATGATTCAGCCTCGAGTGATCAAGGCAGCGACACTCGGTCACCCAGCCACACGTACACGTCTAGACTCGTGGCCGACAGCCTGTGAGGGTCGTTGTCGTCTGCTGTGCAGATGACTGCTTTATATTTCTATAAATTTTCAAAAACTGTGTGTGATTTTTTTTTTAATCACCATAGGCTTACTTTGAAGGGGCAGCTCCTGGAAGCAACCTGCCATTTTGCACCCTAGTGCTGTGTCTCCTGCCAGATCTGTCTTCTGATGATGCCCTGGGCCCCTGATGCCCACATGGTCTCCTGGGTGACCTGCTCACGTGGTGCAGCAGCTCCCTGTGACAGAACCTCTGTTGCAGTTCCTGTCCTCCATTCCCTCTAGACAGAGCAGTCAGGCACTGACCCTGCAAACCAGCTCAGAAGCAAAGCCTTTACCTTGCTTCAGTACCTTCCTTTTGATGGTTCTAAGTGCCTGGCAGACAAGGACACCCATGAGGGTCCCCTATCCACATGAAGCTGAATACCAAATCCAGAGGCCTCACTGTGGCACAGGAACAGGGTGAAGGGGACGAGCAGAGGGGGGAAGCACTCAGATCCGGACACCCTCCACAAGGAATCTGCCAAGGAGAGGAGCCTGGACCCTGCAGGGCTCTCCTGGTGGGGATCTTGCTCCTCCTGGGAGTGGGGCTGGGGCCTCTGCCTTCCCCAGATGCTGCACCGGCCAGGAAGGTCCCATGCAACAGCATCCTAAGCAATTACCAAACTCTACCAAGAGGGCTGTCACTCAGGGCCATCTGGGACCCTGTCTGAGAGCGTCATTTCTTCACTAGTGACCTCCCAGCATGGCATGCTGATGATCTTCTTGGTAAGGCCCACCCTGGTCATTCAGGCTGAGGTGTCCCACCTGGGCACTGAAGCCCCTTACCTTGGAAACTCGGCTCTCACCCTCCCTTCCCTGACCCCACCTGACCTTGGGTGACATCAGTACCCTGACCTCTGTCCCCGTGAACCAAACACTACACGGAAGGTTGCAAACCTTGGCTGCTTTATTTTTAGATGACCCCATTTCTTAGCTGCCTGCAGCGCTCGGGATGGAGGGGCTCCAGGGCAGCCCAAGGCCCAGGCCTTGTTTACTGTGTGGGGGAGAATCCCGCTCCCTTCCACCGGTGCACGCAGCTGTCAGAGTCTCACGCTGCCCTGAGCCTGCCTTTACCACTGGTCTCACCCACTGCCACTGTGGACCCAAGCTCAGAGACTAGGCTGACCGACCTGTGCCTACCCCTGCTGTGACTGTCCCCCCACAGAGGGACCGTGGCAATCTGGGTCCCTGTGAGTACAGCCGTGGAGCAGTACAAGAAGGCCCTGCACAAATGTCAGCCCCGAGCTGCTTTCTACGGACCCAACGGTCCACAGCATGGGCTTCTGCTGTCTGCAGCCTGCTCGTCTCCATCTCCCACCCTCAGCACCCCCCACTCAGCCTGACTGCCCAGGGTGAGTGAAAGCACCACGCTTGCCCAAGAAGCTCCCTACCGTCCATTCTAGCCCCCAGGGAACCCAGAGGTCTCCTGTGTGACTAGACAGTGTGCGCTTTCAGAGGAGACGGTCTTCGAAGAGCTGTGACCTCACTCCTCCCCACCCCAGTGCCCCACCCCACCCCACCCCACCATACAGAGGCTAAAAATATCCATAAGTTCCCACGTGGCCTGCCCAGCCCAGCCCAGCCCAGCCCAGCGGGCCTCCTTTGTAGCCCACACTTCAGCCTAAGTTCTGCCCTTTGATCTATGATCTCAGCAAGGGGCCCTTAGGAAGCCTACTGACAGGTAAGACCAGGGGTTTTACGAGTGGGTGAGTTCAGGTTAGACTTGGCAGAGTCCTCTACAGGCCAGGTGCAACTGGCAGCAAGGGCTGCCAGGAAGGGCTCAGGGAGAGAGGACCTAAGAATGCAACCAGAGCCATGATGGCAGGATTGCCATCCTGCCCTCTGAGCAGCCCTGGGAAGACTCTAAACACCCCTCCCCTTTACCCTTCAGCCTCTGTGCAACTGCAGAGCAGCAGTGTCCGCAGGTATCTCTGAGCCCCCTTGGAGAGCTGCTGTGCACACAGGCCTGGTTGCACCATTGTAGCTATAGTCAGTAGCCAAAGAGCCCAGCCATGACTGGAATGCAGGCCTGTGGGCGTTGCCTTGGGCACAGCCCTCCCTGCATGTGCCCCAGCTAAAGGCCTCCCTAAGAGGTTAGATAGAATAGATTCCTGGCAGGTGCGAGGGTCTCCTGAGCTTCCCTTTGTCAGCCTGAGCCAAGGCTGTACCTTGAAAATCCTCCTGAGTAGGTCAGGCCCTGTGCTGTAGAAATGAGATAGCATCAGTGATTGGGGGCGTGGGCCTCAAGCTCTCAGGCCACCCCATGCCACAGGCCCTGTGGCTTGCCAGTTCCCTGGATAGGGCTTGTACTTGATTCCCTCATTTTCCAGGCCTCCACCAGCTCACTAACCCTCCAGCACTGGGTGCTGTGTGAGGTTCCCCTTGAGGGCGATACACTACCGCTGTGCTTTCAGCGTGAGGAACTCAAGACGGGGCCTCCCTCTTTCCTTTCCTTTCCTTTGCCTTCCCCTCCCCCCTTCACTTTTCTCATATATATATATATATATATATATGCAGGCCTTGAGCTTCCTGGTGCCCCTCAGCTCTGGGACTTCGGGTGTGCCCCACCATGACCACTGACTGTTCCTGTCCTTGGTGATTCTCTTAGGTGGGCCTAGCAGTGGGTCTGCTGACTGCTGAGGTGCGCAATGCGGTGGGAAGCTGCAGTGGTTACACTTTGAGTTCGCTGGACTCAGCCATGGTTGCAAGCCAGGCTCTGAATTCAATTGCTATCATCCTACCCCTCCCCAGCCCCGTCTGCCTCTTAGCTCTGTGGTCTTGGGCTGATGACTCAAACTGTCTGTGTCAGTTACTCTGTAAAATAATAGCACTCACTTGTGAGATCAAGTGTGAGCACAGGAAGAGGCCTGGGAAGTGGCTGTGCCTAGGAGCTGCCCAGGAGGATGACTCAAAGCCCCTTCACCCTTAGCCTCTCCACCAGATGCTGAGGAAACAGGAACAGGGATGATGTGGCTCAACCAGACGGCCTCTTGCAGACAGGCAGTGAAGACCAATGGGGCAGAGTCAAACCTAAAATCACTTCCAGCGGCCTGCCCAGCAACACAAGGCCTGAGAGAGAGGAAGCCTCTTGGGCTCCTGAAGCAGGGAGGTGCTGGGGCCTGGAGGTCTACGCTGTGAAAGATAGGCGGCCCAGGGCTTTTGTTGTCTATGTGGTTCTACCCTAACTATCTGGCCTGGAGAACGTCTAGGCCTCAGCTATCTCCTGTACAGCAGAAGCAGCAGCTGGCTTAACCTGAGGACCTGGGGTAGATCAGGATGCTGGATGCCCAAAGTGGCCCCCGCACTGGCAACACCCAGTCGGTGGGCACTTGCCGGGGGTGGGGACAGCCGATGCCCAAACAGTCATACAATGAATCATCACGGCTCTCATGCCTTGTGTTCCCACTTAGGTGCTCGGGGAGCCCCAGGAACCACTTCCGGGAAAGAGGGTGGGCCGCAAGGGTCTCTGTCGGCTCTGCATCATGGTGAGGGATGTAGACGACCTGGACTTCCATCTGCAGACACACGCCCAAGACACGCTGGATGGCCTGCAGCGTCTCCGCTCCCTGCCCAAGCTGGCCGACGTCACACTGCTGGTGGGTGAGCGGGAGCTGCCCTGTCACCGCAGCCTCCTGGCACTGAGTAGCCCCTACTTCCACGCCATGTTTGCCGGAGACTTTGCTGAAAGCTTTTCGGCGCGTGTGGAGCTTCGAGACGTAGAGCCGGCTGCGGTGGGACAGCTGGTAGACTTCGTGTACACGGGCCGGCTCACCATCACTCAGGCTAACGTGGAGGCACTGACCCGCACCGCGTCACGCCTTCACTTCCCCACCGTCCAGAAGGTCTGTGGCCGATACCTCCAGCAGCAGTTAGATGCCACCAACTGCCTGGGCATCTGCGAGTTTGGGGAACAGCAGGGGCTGCTGGGCGTGGCTGCCAAAGCCTGGGCCTTCTTTCGGGAGAACTTTGAGGCGGTGGCCCAAGAGGACGAGTTCCTGCAGCTGCCCAGAGACCGGCTGGCCACCTGTCTGGCCAGCGACCTGCTGCAGGTACAGCCCGAGCAGAGCCGGCTGGAGGCCCTGCTGCGCTGGGTGCGCCATGACCCTCGGGAACGGGCTGCCCACCTGCCCGAGCTCCTCAGCCTGGTGCACTTGGATGCTGTGCCAAGGCCCTGCGTGCAACAGTTGCTGGCCACAGAGCCACTGATCCAGGAGTCAGAAGCGTGTCAGGAAGCCCTGTCCCAGGGTCGCAGTGCGGTGAGTGAGAGGCAGGGGACTTCCACCTAAGAGGTGGAGGAGGAGGAGCTGAGCCCCCACCTGTGTGGGGAGGAAAGAGCGGGCCCCCTTAACATGCCCCATCTTGCATGGCTCCCTACTGAAGGCTGGTTCCTTGACAGAGCATCACCATTCTTCTCTCAAGTGTGCCTTGCTCTGAGACCAGGGGGAGGAAACCAGAAGTGCCTCTATCTTTAAGAAGCCTACCAGTGCCTAGTGGTGATGGTGCACGCCTTTAATCACAGCACTTGGGAGACAGAGGCAGGCAAATCTCTGAGTCTGAGGCCAGCCTGATCTGGAGTTTCAGGACAGCGAGGGCTCCACAGAGAAATGCTATCTCAGGCCGGGGAGGGGAAGCCTACTACTGAGTGAGGATGAGCCTAGATACAGACCTAATGCTCGGTGGAAAGGCTGGCACTGAGAGGCTCTAGTGCCGTCTGGCAGTCGGAAAGGCCTCGGTGCTGGACTGGTCCTTAGAGGAGACATAGGAGTTGAGCAGGGGAAGATGAGGAAAAGCCATCCAGGACGATGGTACAGCTGCACAGAGGTGGACCCTGTGGGGCCTGGAAGCTGTCACCACGTGCTCCTGAGGGGGCTCCAGCTGAACCCAGACAGAATCTGTCCCTGCTAGTGCTGGCAGTGGGCTGGCAGCTGGCAGGCCCTGACAGAGTGACAGGCCTAACTGTGGTGGCCCATAGGGTGATTGAGCCGTTGTACCGGAGAAAGGCCTCTGTGGCTTCTGAGAGACACAGCTCTTCACAGCGTAGGGGTGTGGATGGAGTGGGGGTGTTTATGGGGTAGCAGTGTGCACACATGCCAAGGCCCACCTAGCCTTAAGCACAGGCACTGACTGGAGAACACATGGACCCTTGGGCTGGACAGACAGTTGCTAGCCAGTCTGACCTGGGTCCCGCCCACAGGAGCTTCCTGGTCTCCTGCAGAAGATGCAAGAGGTGCTGGTGGTCGTAGGAGGGCGAGCCCTGGAGGAGGACGAAGAGGGTGGTGAGGAACCCAGCCCCCACACTGGGAACTTTGCCTTCTACAACACTAAGGCCAGTAAGTACCTGCCATGCTTGTCCCTGTACCTCGGGGTACAACCAGTGAGGCGAACAGAGATCTGGGCGAACCTGCCCTGGCCCTGCCTTCGGAAGGCTGAGTGGTAGACCTTACCAGGGCTGCAGAGAAGCCGAGAGGCCATGGGGGCAGGTGGCAGTGTAGTGCTGGAGAATACTTTTAATCCATTTTTCCCTCTGGTGTGAGCTCTACATCTGGTTTTTATTAGGCTCTGGGGCCTGGGATAAAAGGCCCCATAGCCCAGACAGTGCTATTCAGGGAGGATGTCATCCTCGCCCATCGATTCCTCCAGGTTGCCCTGCCCTGTGCACCCAGTGTGGGAGCCAAGGCTTTAGGGGGAAAATAAGAGATAAGAGGGTGCAGACAGCCCAGGAGAAAGAGTTCAGATTCTGAGTCAGCTCAAACTGGGATCCAGTCTGGTGCCGGGGCCGGTCACTTAACCTCCCTGGATGTGCGTTCCCCATGCCTCCTTCCCATGCTTGTAAGGGGGCCTGGGGAAGCAGCAGGAGGTCACCCACAGGCCGTCTGCCCGGGAGAACCTTGGGAAAGTGCTGATGAGGGCTGGTTGCCTCCAGGACTGCGGCCAGCACCCACTGCAACAGCTCTGGCGGGCTGGAGGAAGCCCAAAGCCAGCAGTCCAGGTCACAGGCTCACAGAGGGGATTTGGGGTTGACGTCAGGAGAAAGCAGCTGGCTGGCAACAATGGTCTGCCGATTTCTGGGCCGTCCTCACTCTGGGGTGACACAGACATGAATCAGGGGACACTCCGTTCCTATCTATGGTGCCAGGCTCGGCTCACCATGAGTCCTAGAATTCTACATGTTCCCAAAGTGTCATAAACAGTCAACAGTATCCCGGGGGACTTCCCCAGGGCCTGACCTCCCACAAACACTTGCAATGAGTCTAGTCACAGGATTCGAGTTTCCCACGCCTATGGTCTCATGATGGTTTCTTTCAAAGCATTCCTCATCGCTCTGTCCCTCACAACAGCGAAAGCAGACACCACCGATGGGCATTTCCCATGCATCTCACGTCTCCTGCCACGCCTTTTTATTTGTTTGTCTTTTTACATTTACTCGTTCATTTGGGGGCACGTGTGCCATGGTGCATAGGTGGAAGTCAGGGGGCAACTTGTGGGAGTCCGTTATCTCCCTTCCATCATGTGGCATGTTGAGGACTCAGACCACCAGCCTTGATGGCAAGAGCCTTTACCGGCTGAGCCATCTCTCTGGCCCAATTCACACACACCCCTCCCCCATTCTATAGGCAGAGAAGCCGGGGCTGGGCCCTGTCTGAAATCACACAACTGGCACCTGCAAGCCAGGACTTGGACTTTACTCCACCTGCCTTCACTCTGTGTATCTGGGCTGCCTTGTCAATGGAGACAGGCTTGGGGTAGATGGCTCCATGGATGAGCAAATGAACAAGTGTGCTACCACCTCCTCCTGATGCGCACACACGGCCGATACCCTCTGTGGTCGAGGTGGACTAGGTCCACCTAGGGTCACTGAGGTGAGCTTCAGCTCAGGGGGACACCTGCCTGCAGACCCTGGAATGCTGTTTTATATCCTTGAGATCTGCTTGTCCGGTCTGGACCAGGCTCTAAGGAGGGCTGCTGTGAGGAATGTGATCAGCTGGGACACCCCACCTGTCTGACTCCACTCTCTACCTGCCCTTCTCTTCCCCACTAGTGTGGGGGACATTTCTGCGACCAGTTCATGAAAAAGGCCCCAGGGCAGGCAGGGAAGCAGAGGGCTCTCAGGAGCTCTGACTCTCTGCCTCTGTCTTCCTACCAGGGCAGTGGATGGCGCTCCCGGACTTCCCTGATTACCACAAGTGGGGCTTCTCCCTGGCAGCACTCAACAATGACGTCTACGTCACAGGTGGGTGGCCCAGGGCTCCTAGAAACACCCTGACTAACTTGGTGCAACACCAACCCCCCAAATCAGCTCTCCCACCCAACGGGATCCTGGGAGGTCTACTCAGACCTTCCCGACTTTGCTACACACATGAAACTGAAGAATTTCCAGAGGTAGAGCTGGGAGGATCAGAAAGTCAAGGTCATTCTTGGCTATAGGGCAAGCTTCAGAAATCTAGGTTAGATGGGCAGCGCAGCGCGCCTGTAATCCCAGCACTCAGGGAGACAGAGGCAGGCCGATCTCTCTGAGGCTAGCCTGGTCTACAAAGTGAGTCCGGGACAGCTAAGGCTACACAGAGAAACCCTGTCTCAAAAAACCAAAAAGCAAGCAAACAAGCTTGAAGCCAACCTGACTGGAACAATCAAAAACCAAAATAACTTTCCAGCAAATGACAAAAAGTTCAGAGTCCACTCACTGACAGGTGCTATGAGCCACCGCTGTGTAAACAGAACCTCTCTCTGGCAGGTGGCTCCCGGGGCACCAAAACAGACACCTGGTCGACCACCCATGCCTGGTGCTTCCCCCTGAAGGAGGCTACCTGGAAGCCTGTGGCGCCCATGCTAAAGGCCCGCACGAACCACGCCAGCACAGCGCTGAATGGAGAGATATACGCCATTGGGGGTGAGGCCTCCCTCCCTACCATCACGCCCCTCAGTCCTGGAGCTACACATCCCCAGCCCATGCCCTCACGGGAGATGCTGCCAGCAAGAGCTCTCTGCCCTCTAGGGTCAGTGAGCCCCATGCAGACAGTCCTCAGAATGCCTGGCTGGGGCGCCCTCTGCATCCATGGACCAGCCAGCCCCTGTTGGCCTCAGAGCTTCAGGGCCAGGAGAAACAATTACACACACCAGAATCAGGGACCCAGCTCAGGGTCGCTCGGAAGTCTCAGGGGTGAATGACCCACAGAGACCTCCATGGTGCCGTCAGCCCCACACAGGGACCACCTCATCACCCAGACACCCCAGTGCCACAGCAAAGAGCTTCTCTGGGGAACATAAAATAAGAATATTAAAATAAGACCCAGTAGTGGCCCCAAAGAGCCACAGGCAGCAGCCTATCCCTGAGCCACCTCTAATATCTAGCCATCCTGGGGGTAGAGGGTCCTTTTCTCTAAGAATTGCTGTGTTCCTGGGCAGAAAGTAAAGAGTGGGAACCTTGGGTTCCCAAGGGTTTCACAGAGACTTAGACTAAGAGGCGTGTACCCCCAAATAAGTTATCACAGTTGGCACACCCGTTCTACTGGGGGCTATCACCATAGTCTGAAGCCTTACACCCTGTTCTCCCGGGACTGGCCCTAGGGACCGGTGCCACCATCCCATCTACATAGCACTTCTTGGTGAGGTCTTGCCTGTGAGGGGGACCCAGCTCACTGTCTCTCCAGGTTCTACCTCCCTCATTCGCCTTCCCTTCCTGGGGCTCTAGAGCCATCCTCGCCACCTTCAGAAGTCCAGACCCTACGTTTTCAGGATCCTTCCCTGCTCCTAGACCCCAGTGCCCAGCTTCTATGCAGCTAAGACAGCCTCCCACAGGCACCGCTCTGGATGCAGTAGAGGTGGAGCGCTATGACCCCTACACGGACAGCTGGACTCCTGTCAGCCCGGCCCTCAAGTATGTCAGCAACTTCTCGGCTGCCAGCTGCCAGGGCCGCCTCTACCTGGTGGGATCCAGCGCCTGCAAGTACAACATGCTAGCTCTCCAGTGCTACAGCCCCGTGACAGGTGAGGAGGCCTCCCTTACGGCCCGCATGCCCGAGTGACAGCGTGCAGGTGGGGCCTCTGGTTTCTACAGCTGGCAGAAGAGAGCCATGTGGAGAAGGTGGGTTGGACAGATGCAGGGGCCCAGGGGCTCCCAGGAGCCTGTGGGAACGAGGGGAGGGTGGCCACGTCGAAGCAAAGCCCCCTCCTGCCTGCTACAGCCCAGGGAGAGGCAGGCAAGGCAGAGTCCTCACAGCACACTGCGCCAGGCTCCTTCCATCGGCAGTGAGTGTGCCAGGGTGCACACTGGAGCCCTCAGAGTGGAGCCCTCCACGACCTTCCCCAGTGAGGAGCTGCCCCCCCTTCCTGGTGAAGTTACCCATCCATCCACGTGCCCTGCAGATGCCTGGAGTGTGATTGCCTCGCCTTTCCTGCCCAAGTACCTGTCCTCTCCACGCTGCGCTGCCCTCAATGGAGCCCTGTATCTCATCGGTGACAACACTAAGAAGGTTTACGTGTACGATCCGGGGGCCAACCTGTGGCAGAAGGTGAGTCTCCCCAGGCCTCCTTCTGCCCGCCCCCTGGTGGGGCCTTGCTGGACTCCAGAGATGCAGCCAAATGGAGGTGTGGAGGAGTGCCAGAGAGGCCAACAGAGGCAGGCCTGGAGATGATGACTGCTGGTCACCATCAGGTCTCCTCCCCTGAGCTCTTCTCTTCCTTCTCAGGGGTCCAGTCCCTGTTCCATGGTGACTGACTGGGACAGCCATGGGTAGAAAGGAAGGTGGCGAGCGTCCCACCCAGTGGGAGATGGAGCCAGGCAGGTGGATCCTGAGCTGAGAGCGAGGCGTAGCTAGCTCCAGTACCATTTCACCTTGCTCTTCTTCTTCAGGCCCAGGAAGGGGTGGGAAGTGGGCCAGGTGCCAGCCCTGGGGCCCAGAGCTCTGGCCTAGCTCCTTAGTCCCAGGCTGGATGCTTCGGGTCAGTCCACCTACCCCTAGATTCTCCGTCGCAGGAGCCTGATGAAATGGTACCTCTCACTCCCCCTCCCCCAGTCATCAGTTATCCTTGTGACAGCAGGCCCACTGTGTCCTATTGCCCACAGTTGCGCTATAGCTTCAGTGTCCAGCTGATTGGAGGCCCCGTTATAATAAGTAGCCAAACAGGAGAGCAAGCCCTGAAGGTGCTTCTTCTCTGAGCCGCCCAAGCTGAGCCATGGCTGGGCTGGGCTCCCATTAGTGTGGGCCCTACTGTGACATTGCTGGGCCTGCAGGCAGGGCGTCTGCCTGCCGTCATCTTCATGTGGAGGAACACTGGCCTTTTCTCCAAGAGAGTTGCAGTGGAGCCAATCAAGGCTCAACCTAGACCCTAATGGAGGCAGCTCTGAGCTCAGACCTAAGCATCCTTCTTGGATCCTATGATTCCAGGGCCTGAAGGAGTGAGTCATCCTGTTAGATGAAGGTTCAAGAGAGACCAGGACCTCACTGATTTAAAAAAAAAAAAAAAAGCCTGATGTAACCATAGCAGGCAGTGATGAACCCTGGGATTCAGGGTCAGGTGGTGGTCCCAGCCCCATGGAGGACACCCTCCAGTTACCCACTGGCCCCTGAAAACTGCCGTCCATCCACAGGTGCAGTCTCAGCACAGCCTGCACGAGAACGGGGCGCTGGTGCCCCTGGGTGATGCGCTATACGTGACAGGAGGCCGCTGGCAAGGCATGGATGGCGACTACCATGTGGAGATGGAGGCCTACGACACTGTGAGGGATGCCTGGGCTCGCCACGGCTCCCTACCCCGTCTCTGGCTCTACCATGGGGCCTCTACCATCTTTCTGGACATCTCCAAGTGGACACAGCCCTTCAGCCCCAGTGCCACTCAGGAGCAGTAGGGAGGGAGGAGTCCTCGGTTGGTGCTTCATTGTCCTGCAGAAAGGCTCCTCTTCTGCTTCTCTTCTATTCACTGTGAGCTGCTGCCCCCTCCAGGGCTGGGCTCGCTATCAGATGACATCGCTCTGAGGCTACCAAACTTTGCCACCAAGGGTAAGGGCGAGACCCTGATATCACATGGTGGTGGGGAGAGCTCTGCTGTCCCTGAAGACCCTAGAGAAAGAAGCTGAGGGGTTCTGGACTGCACCCTCAGAGCAAACAGATCTACCGCTCTCTCTCTCCCCTCTTTCCTCAGATTCCTCGTTTACCCCACACGGGGTGGCTGGATGAAAGCCAGGGGCTCTCCCCATCCCTAGCCTCTGCATGTTGGTACTCTGTTTACATATCTGCTTGTGGCATGAAGGTGGCTCTGCCCTGCCATGGGTACCTCTGACACTAAGGAAGGCAGGGGGATGTGGTACAGGGCAGGAGACTGAGACAGTCGAGGATCCTCTAGTGGTTCTCAACCTTCCTAATGCTGTGACTCTTTGAAACAATTCCTCATGTTGTGGTGACCCCTGACCATAAAACTGTTTTCATTGTTACTTCCTAACTGTAATTTTACTACTGTTAGGAATGTAAATATCTGGTATGCAGGATATCTGATACACTCGTAGATATCTGCTATGCAGAGTATCTGATCCCTGATCCCTCACCCTGGTCTGCAGGCACTTCTGGGGGGGAAGCTAACATCTGAGAAGGCTTCCCAACAGTCATGATATGGTTTGGAGTGGCTCAGACCTTGGTCTCACTGAGGTGGAGTGTGGCTCGGCCCTCCCTTCCTCCCTTCCTCCCTTCCTCCCTCATTTACACATGTTGTTCTTTCTCCTCATCCTCGCCTCCATACAAGGCTTTAGCTTTGTAACCAGACAGACAGTAAAGGACTCTCACTGTGTGTGACATAGACTGGTGAGGGTCTAAACTGCAGGTTGGGAGTTGGTCTGGCTAACACCAGCTGCTGTCCCACTGAGGCCTTGAGTGGCCACCAGCTCCCAACAGTCAGCTGTTCCTGACTTCTCCAGGAACAGCCCAGGGGCTCAGAGTGGTTCCTAAAACCCCTGACTTCTAAGAACTGGACTCTCAACTCCAACCTGCTTTTGAAAGTCAGGATTCACTTTGCTCCCAGACCTGACTTCATCTTTGGGACCATTAAGCTGACTCAGAAATCAAATAGGGCAGGGGATAGAGCCCAGACCTGGGTTCTGAGTGTTCTTAGGGTGTGGGTGTTTGAATAAGAATGGCCCCCACCCCATAGGCTCGTGTATTTTAATACTTAGTCACCAGTAAGTGGAACTGTTTGAAAGGATTAGAAGGATTAGAAGGCGTGGCCTTATTGTTACCTGCGGGGGAGGGGGAGTTAAGGTTTCCAAAGCCCTTGCCAGACCCAGTCTCCCTCAGCAGATCACCCCAGGGCTGTTCAAAGGCAAAGGCTGAAACAGGAAAGCTGACTTCAATCAGAAATGGGGAATTGGAAAGGCCAAGCATCCCAGGATGAGTGCAAATGGAGGAAGTCCCTTTGCTGAATTGTGCCTCATCTGGCCATTCTGGGGCCAGTGGCATAATTGGTGTTCCAGGAGGAAAGTTCCTCCAGCTAGGGATAATAAAGGGAGTGTCTAACTGGGAGCCAGCTTCAAGGGTGTCCAGGCAGAGCTGTAGAAGTGCCAGGTGCCAACAACAATGAGGTATCCTGGCCACCAGCAGCTTCCAGACACCAGGGAATTGGCATGAGTACACACACTCAAGATAGTCTAGGAGAACACAGCTACAGCTTTAGTGTCTGCTTTGCAGGGAAGATATTCCTGACTCTGCTGTCCCCATCTCTTGCTAACGCCACCCACTGACCAAAGCAAACAGAACGCAGGGAGGGGAGACAAAATACTAGGACCATCCACTAAAGCCACCCTAGGGGCACAGAGTGAGTGGGAAAGGGGCACAGCCAAGAGCACAGCTCAAAGAGAATCAAGCACATCAGATACCCAGGAGATCCTCATGTAATGTAAGGCCACAAGGCATCCCAAGAATCATGCCTCAGAACCCCTAGAGAAACAAAGACTCAGACATTTGAAGCTAGCAGGGACTTCTAGTTAGGATATAGAGTGCTCAGGAGCACATGGAGCGTACAGGAGCACCTAGAATCCTGACAGCCCTGGGACCCCTCAGGAACAGTCAGAGACTGAGAGCATTCAAGCCCCCACCCTGTGCCAGAACCTACCAGTGTGCTATTGCTGTGAAGAGACACCACGGCCAAGGCAATTCTTACCAAAAAATAAAATAAAATACAACAAAACATTTAATTAGGGTCTTGCTTACAGTTTCAGAAGTTTAGTCCATCATCATCATGGAAGTGAGCACAGTGGCTCACGTGGTGCTGGAGCAACATCCTGATCTGTGGGCTGAGAGACTGGGCCTGGCTCGGGCTTAGCCCGGCCCCCAGTAACAACACACTCCCTCTAGTAAGGCCACACCTCCTAGTCCTTCTAATCCTTTCAAACTGTTCCACTCCCTGATGACTAAGCCTTCAAACATAAGAGCCTATGGGGGCCATTCTTATTCAAACCACCACACACTGGGAGCACTCAGAGCCTGCAGGAGCACTCAGACTCTGGAGAGGTTCTGACTACAAGACATTGCAACTGGGCCTGGATATGTTTTCCTTTGGGACTCCTTGATGCTCCCAAACTGTATCCCTCATTTTCTTCATTTATATGATGGAGACAGTCATGTGATCTGAGCACTGATGGTCCTATCCAGGAACTAACCAGGCCAGGTGACACTGCAGCTATCTGCAGGTACTCTAGAGGCCACACAGCTAGCCGGCCTCAGAAGGCTCCCATTGTCTTTGAGTAAAGGGAGATTTCATGCCCATGACATCAACCAACGGCCTTCCTTTGGAGAAAGGGGACACTGGGAAAGCTTGGCTCATTGAACTGCCAGGAAGCCAGGTCAAGGCCATGACATGAGGGCCCAGGAATGAGGATTAGATTTCTGCCATGCAAGAAGGCACACGGGGGGTCACTCCTAGGTCTGCCTACCCTGTCTTTCTCATTCAGCGCTTCTGCTCAGATGCTGGCACCAGCCACAAAGGCCCCACTTCTGAATAAGGGGTGCAGTTCCTTCATTGTGGGCTTAGTGTCCTGTGAGCTTTGCTGTCCTCCAGACGATCTTGTCTTCAAATGGGACTCTGAAAACATAGAGGATCCTTTCCTGAAAGCCCAGAGTTCTGGGGCCATGCGCCTGGACTGGGCTGCGTCATTACCTTGAGCTACGGTCCAGGAAGCCATGCCAGCACCAGAACCAATTGGCTCTGGGCCCTCTGGAAGAACCCATGACGTCACTAGGACAGTCCGCTGTTTGGGAAAATAACTGCTTTCACATGGCGACAGGTCCCGTTGTCAGCACTGAGCTGGGGCCCTCACTGTGAACTGAGTCATGTTCTGCAAATCAAGCCCCTTCCTGGAGTCCCTGCTCTAGCCTTTAGGGGCACCTGCACTCACAGGAATGTGCGTGCACACAAGCTAACTAAAACAAAACCCGAAGGAAGCCAGGTGTGCCGCTTTCTCTCAAGCCAATGGAACGACAGCAGCCCAAGGCAGAGGACCTGCCTCTTTGGAGGAGAGCCACGCAGGAAAGGCCTTCTCCCAGATCCGGCCTTTAGGGTTTGTGTCTGTCCTGGCTGGCTGCCCTGTGTGGGCTGTGGGCAGCTGGGCTCCATCCCCACACTTGGCTTAGGGCTTCAGAGGGGTCTGTCCTTCCAGCCAGGCTGGGTCAATGCTCTGTAGCTGCTAGCTTTGTAGGTGGAGTCTGAGAGGACCCAGCACCGCAACAACCTGCTCTTCCCAACATCCTGCGTTGGGAAGAGCAGGAACACCTTACAAGTGCTCCGGGTTCCCCAGCTTGAAAGGGAGGAGCCATGAGGGTCTCCATACTCCAAGGAACTCAACCTGTGTCAACATGGCCCGTAACTCACCGGGCACCAGGAGGGAGCATCAGAAGGGAGCCTCGGGGCTGAGGAGACGCGCAGAATGGTGGAGTGGAGACCCCCAGATGCTCTCAGAGAACGAACGGGGGGTTTTAAGAGGGCCAGGGTGCAGGACTAGGAGACGCTGACCCTGGGCTACAGCAGGGCCGACCAGAGCCACCAAGAGCAGGTGTGCACGGACGGGATCCGGCAGCCGCCTCCTCTCCGGGGCCCCTTTGCCTGCAGAGCGCGCCCGAGCCGCTAGGGGGCGACAGCAGCGAGGGTGGCGCGCGCGACGCGGGGGATTCAAGCGCGTTATAAGGCGCCGAGCAGACCAGCCGCGCTCGCCGCTGTGGCTGCCGCCCGCATGGCCTCGGCCCGCAGCCCCGTCGGAGCGAGCCTGCTGCTCGCCTACGCCAGCCTGCTCGCCGCCGTGGGCCTGGGTGTCCCGGAGCCCGTGGGGAACCCCGCACGGCCGCAGCTGCCCGGGGCCGAGCCCGCCCCGCCCGCCGACAGCCTGCCGGTAAGACGCGGCCACGCCGCCCCGCACCTTCCTGTCCCAGGGGTCCAGGGACCGCGGGAAGGTGGCACCTCTGGCTGCGCAAACGCCCCTCTCAGGGGCTCAGTGAGCCCCGGGGTTGTGTAGCCGCGCCCTCTGCACGGCGGCTTTGGCGGGGGAATTCTACTAGGCCAGTGGGAGAAGCTGGGAAAGGCGTGAAAAGCAGGCAGCGTGCCCCCGAAACTGGAGGACTAGCGGAGGAGCGGGGCTCTCAGACCCAGCTCCTTTCTGTTGGGTGACTGCTGGGAAAGGCTCTGCCTCTTTCCCTCCCTGGATCTCCACCTGAACCGCTGGGGTGGAGACTCGGGCTGGGGAGGGTGTGGCCAGAGGAAGCCCGGGGAGGGCGGGTTGGCAGCCCTCACTGCAGCGGGTTGGTCCTGTGGCCAGGGCTCACGGAAGAGTGTCTGGGTCTTGTCTGGGTTGAACGTGTGTAGCTCAGGCACAAGGGAACCCTAGGGCGGGGTTCCAGGGTCCAGGGCCAGGGTCCAGCTCTTCTATCCTCAGCAAACCAAGGGGCAAGAAAACATCCACCAAAACATCCACCGGTTACACCCGGACTCCCTAAGCAAGGTGTGTCTCCCCCACCCCCTGCCCGGGCTTCCGCCACCCCTTTTCTGCCTCACCCAGCTGCTTCCCTTGGTGGGAGTACAAATGTCCGTGTCGTTGGCAGGCAACTTTCACATAGTCATCAAGAAGCAGGAAGTGTCTGGAACTTCCCAGTGGGGTTTTGGCCTTGGACCCTCTTTAGGAGTGTCAAGGTGTCACCAGCTCTCTGATAGCTGGAACCTAGACCCCACTCCAGCTCCTGGGGCCCCAGACCAATGTGGCTCCATGCATTTCAGTGCTGCCCTCAAGCCAACAGTGATCTTAATCCACACACAGGCCACTGGTCCCCTAAAAGGATCAGTGTAACTTCCCTGACCTATGATGGAAAGCATTGCATCATGCTTTTTCACTGAGGGCATCAGTCCAGCAAGAAGCTTCGGAGCCGCCATCTTCCCAGGGCGGCAGCCTGGCCTGTGACCCGCAATACACCGGCCTGGGTTGTTCTGAGATCCTGGGTCTTTCTAACAGACACTGCAGTCTGTGCCCATAACGTCTTCTAAGGCCTCTTGAACCACTGCCTTTCCAGCTGGTAGCCCCATGTGAAACCCAGACTGCAAAAGGCCCATTGACTGTCCTCTTTACCGAAGGCCTCTGCCAGGAAACAAGGCTCCTCCCAGAGCTTGGCTCCTTGGGCCAGTGTTTTAGAAGTGCTAAGGAAGATAGAGGTCCCGTGCGGGGTGGCCTTGAGTCATGACATCAGGCCCCTCGCCCCAGCATGGCCTGTGACCACAGTGGCTCTGAGGCTGGTCTTCTTGGCACTTCTGCCTGTGGGGAGGGACAGTCTTCACATAGTCAGAGTCACCTCTTAAGCCTTTGTGGGGGCCAGTGAGTGTCAAGGACGGTGAGACTGTCCTCAAGGAAGAGCAGGAAGATGTATTCCAGACAACCTGCTGAGGGCCCTACCCCACCTTCCTGCAGCCTGGGCTCTCCAGCACAGTGAGGCTTCGTCCTCCCTGGGCTGGGGATGGGGGACGCTACCTCTGAGAACACAGGTGAGAAGGGCCAGGGTCCAGCAAGCAGCATCATATGCAAACCTTCCTGTGGGCGTGTGTGTTCCAGAAGCCCACCAGTGCACATGCACACAGCGTGGACCCCAGGGATGCCTGGATGCTCTTTGTCAGGCAGAGCAACAAGGGCATCAACAGCAAGAGGAGGAGCAGGACCAAGGCCAGGCGACTGAAGGTGAGCGGTTTGTGACCACACCCTCACCACCACCCTCATCAGCTTCCCTTGTCCACAGGGGTACCAGGATGCCACGGAAAGAACATAGGGTCAAGTACGAAGCTGGAGTCCAGCAAGCCTGGAGTTAGGGCCTGGTTCCAACCACTCATCCCAACCACCCCTAGGATGCCAGGTCTTCCCTAGCTTTTACTTTATGTCCAGAGAGAGAAGCGTCCCCAGTAGGTGCTTGGGAGTCAGGGTAGCTTCAGGCTGCTGAAGTGATACAGGCTGGGGCCTCTGGGTTTGGCCCTGGCCTGGGCAGGAAGCCGGCACTTGGGCCCGATGGCTGACTCCTGCACTGAGTTTCTCAAAGTGACTCTGGATGGAGACTGGCCTCCCTGCTGAGGGTCAGGCCTGCCTACCCAGGATCTGACCCACCGGGCCTGAGAAGGGGTGCGTTGGCCCTGCACCCTAGCCACCTGGCCTTGCCAGGCAGGGGCTTGGCTCCTTCTCTTAGGTCCCGGACCAGTACAAACTCCCCAGAGCCAAGTACAGTAGCGACTTACCGCTGTGTCCCATGTCGGACTGAGACGCAGGTCCCCAGAAGCAGCCTGAAGTGTCCTCTGCATTCAGAGCCTGCCCTGCCCTGCCCTGCCCTGTCCCTAGTGAGCATCGCACCTGCACAGTCCCATCCTTGCCTATGACTTTCATTCCGTGCTTGGTGACAGAGGGCATACGAGAGCCCAAAGGCCCCCACCCAGGAGGAAAGCACCCGCAGCCACTGCAGGAGCTCTCCTGCCTGCCTCGCTGCAGGAGCTGACAGGGCTCACCCATGTCCTTCCTTCAAATCTCCTCACCACTTCCCTTCCCTTCCAGCTTGGCCTGCCGGGACCCCCAGGGCCACCAGGTCCTCAGGGCCCCCCAGGCCCCTTCACCCCACCTGAGGCTCTGTTGAAGGAGTTCCAGCTGTTGCTGAAAGGTAAGGGTGCCATCCTGTGGCAGTGCTCTGGTGTGGGGAAGCCAGAGCATAGACCTCAGCCCCTGGCGGACACCTGCTAAGCTGCTCTCCAGTTGGCAGCCCTACCTGCCATGGGGCGGGGCTGGGGCTGGGAGAAGTGTGGCAGGTAGAGGCCTCAAGAGGAAAGAAAGACTGCCTTTCCTTGTTCCCTGGGGATAGCACCTCCCTCTCCAAGTTAGACCAGCCCAGGGCTGTCTGTCCTGCAGCCAGCGGCTGGGGAGTAGCCGTCAACGTCTTCTGGAATTGACTGACCCTTGGAGAACTGCTAGGAGCCCTTTCCCTGCTTTCGCCCATGGCTTGTGTGGTTTTAAATGAGCTTCCGGAGGGTGACGAACCTCTGTGTTACTTCTAGTGTAGCCACAATAGGTATTTATAACAACTTTCCAAAAGTACGGGTATGACAGAGAGGTGGGGGGGCAGGGGGGCTGGGTGCCGAATGTACGTGCTGGAGCTCAGATGGCGTGAAGGGCAGCTGCGGGGCCAGGCAGTAGCGCCCCCGCTCCAGGGCCGCGGGCCGGCGGCAGAGTGGTCCTCTGACTGCCTGTGTCAGGCGCAGTGCGGCAGCGGGAGAACTTGGCGCCCGGGCGCTGCACCAGCGACCTCACCACACCAGCCTCGGGCAGCCCCTCCCGCGTCCCAGCCGCCCAGGAGAGTGACGGCCACCAGGACCCGGGGGCTGTGTTGGCGCTGCTGGCCGCGACCTTGGCCCAGGGCCCGCGGGCGCCCCGCGTGGAGGCCGCGTTCCACTGTCGTCTACGCCGGGACGTGCCGGTGGAGCGGCGGGCGCTGCACGAGCTCGGGGTCTACTACCTGGTGAGTGGAGCGCGGCGGGCGGGGGCGCAGGCTGGGGCCCTGGGGTGACCTCTCCTGTGTGCGCCTTAGCCCGACGTGGAGGGAGCCTTCCGCCGGGGCCCAGGCTTGAACCTGACCAGCGGCCAGTACACCGCACCCGTGGCTGGCTTCTACGCACTCGCCGCCACTCTGCACGTGGGTGAGCCCCGAGGCCGGGCGGGGGAGGAAGGGGGCGGGCTGCCCACTGCCCTGGCCCAGGTGACCACCACGACTGGTCCTCCCCGCAGCATTCACAGAGCAGCCGAGAAGGGGTCCCCTGCGACCCAGGGACCGTCTGCGCCTGCTGATCTGCATCCAGTCTCTTTGCCAGCACAATGCGTGAGTGGGGGCTGCAACCTGGCCCACGCCAGTGTAGAGAGCCTCCATTTCTACTCCCACTGGGGTGTGGGGGACCCCGGCCAATCCTAATTTCTTCCCAGGACCCGTGAGAAAGGCTTTCTTTCCTCTAGAACTCTCACTCAGAGGACAGAGGGAGAGCCATATGTGTAGGGGCCTTTTGGGGGGAATTCCATAAGCCCGTTTTTGGTTAGTCCCCCATGTCTCACCTGTGATGACTTTCGTTGCTCGTTTTTGGTTGTGTCTACCTCATGTGGCTCATTTGGTCCACGAGATGAGGACTGTGGCCCTCTTTGCCTGGTGGCTAGGATGGTGGCCAGGCCCAGGACAGGCGCTCACCATAGCTGGAGGAGGTGGGAATGAATAGGGGAAGTCTCAGACTTAATCTGGCGTTGGACTTCCTGGTACCTCCTGCCTCCCATCTTGGCCTGTTTCCCATCAGAGAACCAGGCCTTTGTGCTAGCTCTGGCCTTTCCCGTCCTTCCTCCTTTTGAGGACCCAGTTCAAACACCCCCTCCTGGGAAGGTGGCTCTGGACCTTGTGCTTCACTGCGAATGGTGCTGATCATTGAATGACTGCTGCCCAACACACTGTGAGTGAAGCTGGTGAGGCCTGGGACGCTGACTCTCTTTCTGTCTTGGGCGCAGCTCCCTGGAGACTGTCATGGGGCTGGAGAACAGCAGCGAGCTCTTCACCATCTCGGTAAACGGTGTCCTGTATCTGCAGGTGTGTGGGGCTGTGCTGGCTGGTGTTCAGGGCCACTGGGCATAGCACCCCCAGACACACCGAGTGCTCGTGCTCGCTTAGGAGAGTCAGGCTTAGGGTCCCATTCTCCCTCCAACTCTAGCCCCTCGACCTGTGTTGGCAGGAGGGACCACAGTCTCACTTTGAGACCTTCCAAGAATCTGATGATGTCCTAGGTGCTTCCAGCCATGCAGACCCTCCATGGGGCCAGGAGGAGTGTGGGCACAGAACTTGATGATGCCTGAGCCCCCTGCAACTGTGGGAGGCCTGAGACGGTTATCTTCTACACAGAACCGCAGTGACAGTCTCTTTTGTCACTGTGGTAGAGTCGTAGACATGACTAAAAAAGAAAGTGGAGAGAGGCCTGTGGAGTGCTCACAGCTCTCTCCTGAGCTCCAGGCTGGGTGGTCTGGCTCAAGCCAGCTGTAGTGTCGGAAGCGTGAGTTCCGTGAACTCAAAGGCTCATGGTGGGTGGATCCTCAGAAGTAACGCCCCTGGGTGGATCTCAGTCCAGTTTTCAGGGAATGTGATGCCACTGATGCGTGGCCCACACTGGGGCAGCCAGGCTTGAGCAATGCTCGTGATGGCTCCACAGGCTATGGCAGGCCTAGGAGACACACTGTGGCACAGGAGCCTGCTGGCCTCTTAAACCCGACCTGGGCCCTGAGCAGGAGCTTGTTCCCACACAGTGAGCTGTGAAACACTGGAGGGCAAGAGACTAAGAGCCAACTGTATTAGGAGTGCAACGCTGAACCTGGACTTGGGCCCGTCCCTTCTCTCATGTGCGGCAGAGTAGGCCACAGTGTGCATGTGACCCACGCTGAGCGCTGCAGGCTGCCCAGGGGCCTCTGCTGCAGGGCCAGCCTGACACAAGCCCTTTCTTGCAGACGGGACACTACACCTCCGTCTTCCTGGACAATGCCAGCGGCTCCACCCTCACGGTGCGCAGCGGCTCCCACTTCAGCGCTATCCTCCTGGGTCTGTGAGTGGCTGCTGCAGGCTCTTACCTCACCAAGCAGAGTGCAGGAGGAAGCCCACTGGACTTCTGTATCTGTACACCCTGGCCACTGCAATGCCTCAGCACAGCCACCCTAGGCATTCCTGCAGAGGTGATGGAAGCAGGTTCTCTGAGAACCAGCAGCAATTTGTGAATATCGTAAGCCCTGCTTGGCTCTTCTGGGACCACCGGGCATACTTGGTAGCCACAGCTGCAGAGCTGGCACCTTTGTGGCTCCATACAGCCTGATTCCTTCCTGTGGCTCAGCATCCTAGCCAGGCCACTATCTGGACCAGCCAGCCTGCACAGGGCAGGGCTATTGTGAAATGACTATAGGTCCTTAGTGCTCAAGAGGGGAGCCCAGGCCTTCTTGGACCACACACCCTGTCTACCTAGGTTCCAGGCCCATATACAGCCATATTTACCATGCCTCTGACTGCAGTGCAGCCTCAGCGACCTAGGGACTTCAGGGGCCAGCAAGCCTGCATCTGGCAGCAGTTTCTACTTTTGGGGTAAGCAAGATGACCTGCAGGCCCCCTAGTGGGCACCTCAACATACAGGAGCTGTCCTCCTCTGTCGTCTCTCTCACAGACAAGGCCGTCTTCCCCCTCTACAAAGGCTGCCAGCCAACCAGCCAGCCCTTCCGAGGTTCTGGCTCACGGCTAGGACACACCCACTAGGCAAAGGCTGAGCAGTCATGGACACAGGCCACTTGCTCCAAGCTCCCTTCCTGAGACCTACTGCAAAAGGGGTGGCCTGGCTGAGTGGGCAGCCTGGGGGTGGAGAAACTGGCGGAGGGCTCTTCCCATGAGAAGCTGCAGGACTGTCAGCCTGCAGCTTGTTTCAATGCAGTCTTCCCATTTTTAACATGATTGGGGACCAGCTTCCAAATGTGCAGTGGAGTGGACTGGGCCCGCCAGGCCCCCGGAGGCCTGCTGATGAGGGTTGACAACCAGTACCCACAGCAACCCACAGGCTGCTTTGGGATCTCTTGGCCTATCAGGGGTGCTCAAGCCTGGGACCTCAGGATGAGGTCACTGTATCAGAATGCCCTTATGACTTCTCCCCAAGCAGGCTGCCAACACGGAGCACCAGGTGAATGGAGGGCTGTCCATCGGCAGGCCTGGCCCGATTCTAAGTAGGGCTGGTACCCACCCTACCAGGAAGCACTGTGCTGGCCTGGGTCCTGACTCCCTGGCACTTCGATAAGGACAGGGGGTGGACACACCCTTCTCTGGATTTCACTCTGTATCCAGTGGGCACAGCCATGTTAGAGGAGTTATCTTCTACCCTGGAGAAGGCCACATGAGCACATATCTCACCTTTCAGCAACTGTGCTATACAGGCAGCTTTAAAGTGTCATATTGCTGGGCAGAGTGCTTTTAAGGAGCAGATCACACACAAAGCCATGACAATGACGGGCAGACCTGAAGACCATGCCCTTCTCTTTCCAGGCCCCTCACCAAAGACGACGACGAGGGGTAGGCGCTATAAAGCAAGGAGAGATGCCTGTAGTCTTGAGGCTGCCGCCGAAGGCGGCAAGGGAGACCACAGTGCCAAGTGTCCCCGAGACAGAAGCACCCAGGGATGTGGGTCACAGCCTCTAGGGCACGAAATGATTCCTGGGTTGCCACAAGGATTTGCTGAATTAAACTGTCCTGCTTTCTGATGAGGGAGCGTGTTTTCGAGTGCTGGGCTGCCCGGGTCCTGGTATCCACGCAGGGCTGCTGGGACAGGGCGGCACTGATACTCTTGAATTGCGTCCATTTGGGAGGGTGCGGGGCACGCATCACGGCACGGATGTGGAGGTCACGACAGCTACAACAGCTGGTTCTCTCCTCCTCTGTGGGCCCTGAGATTGAAGCTAGGTGCTCAGGCTTGGCACGAAGCACCTTATGACAAGTTTGTATTCGTATGTGAGCATGTGAATGTGCAGGCCAGAGGTCAACCTACAGTGCTGTTCCTCAGGAGCCAAGCACCTTGCTTTATGCAGATAGGATCTCACTAGGCCCTAGAAGCAAGCTCCAAGGATCTGCCTGTTCCCAATTCTCCTGGGGTTATATGGTGCTTCTATGGGGCTGAGATTATAAGTGTGTGCAAGCACGGTTGGCTTTTTCTGTGGATGCTGGGGATTACTCAGACCCAAATGAGCTGACTACAGCTCCACCCCACTTCTCTGGCCCTGCCATGCTTTTTTTTTTTTTTTTTTTTTTTTAAGACAGTGTCTCATGCATTTCAGGCTGGCCTCAAGCTGGCTCTATCTGATCCCGCCTTCACCTCTTAAGTGCTGAGGTTGTAGGAACATACCTCCACACCTGGTTTATGTAGAGCTGGAGATGGAACTCAGGATCCCATGCATGCCAGGAAAGCCCTTTACCAACTAAGACACGTCTTCAGCCCTCAGTGGGTTTTTGCCAAAGGGTCTTACTGTCACCCAGGCTGGCCTCGAGTGTCTGAGTGTACACAATGTCCTCGCATTTAATTTCTACTTATGGCTTTTCCATGAAGACCCTAAGAAGTCATTTACGGGTTGTAAAAGATGTTGAGGCCCTGCAGCCGCGGAGGGCAGTGACTGCTACAAACAGGTCTGGAGAAGCAGTTGTGCATCTTGAGCTGCGCCAGGAGTTTACACAAAGGCTGCCAGAACTCTCCAAAGAACCCCAGCACTGACCTTCCTACACAAAGTGTTTGTAGGCCGGTTAGAGCCTTCTTCAGGGGGTGCATCATGCTCTTGGCCAGAGGTTCCCTGGCATGAGTTAGACTGTCCACCTCAGGCAGCAGAGCCAAGCACTCCACTGTCCTGAAGATTGACAGTGAGTCTGATGCTCCGATGGGTGGTGGCAGCTGGGTGAAAGCCAGAACAACAGTCACCCTCCCAGGGTTCACTTCTTCAGGGAATAGGAACGAGCTGAATGTAGTTGTCTAGGGAGCCTGGTGGGACTGGCAGTCCATGTGGTAGCAGTCCTCTGGGCCTCATTCTAGCCATACCTGGGCCCCTGCTGCAAATGTCCATGTATTCTGTACAGAAAACCGAACAAAGCCCAGCTACTACTCTGTCACACCCCCCCGCTGCAAGGTCCACTTCTCCAAAGGGGTCAAATCGAGGGTGAGAGCATGTGAACTACATAACAGGTCATCATGGGCCTGTCTAAGACACCCATGATGGTTCTGACAAGGACAGGCCCAGAGCACATTCTAAAGCAAACACAGTTAACTTGGAACCAGTCACTCAAAGTAAATTAAGGGAACTCAAATGACTAGGAAAAAAGAAACCTTTATTTACAACCATAGAAGTCCCACAAGAGTACACAACCGTGCAAAACAGTGCATGTGCAGGCCTCAGTGTCCGATCCTCACCACCATCACCGTCACATTGTCTGCTGAGCCCCGCTGCACTGCCTTGTTAGCCAGCCTGTTGCACGCAGCTTCATAGCGGGCATCAACAGCAGGCTTCCCTTCTCGGGTCTGGATCTTTTCATCCTACCAAAGGGATGGGATCTGAGTGAACAGGGCATCATCCTCTGTCATTTTCTCAGGACACTACAGCCAGGGCAGGGCCTGCTCTGTTCTTAACAAAGGCTGGCAGGAAAGGGTGACCAGCTCAGCCCCACGATAGGACTTAGGTTGAAAAGAGCTCAGAGATTCCTCCTGACACAGGAAATGTGGGGCTACAGAAATAAAGAGCAGCTGAGACAAGTGGCATTCCCTATAAGATGTCTCACCTCAAGGCAGGACAAGATGAAGTTCACAGCTTCTTCTGGGGTAAAGACCTTGAAGAGCCCATCACAAGCCAGTAAAATGAACCTACAATATAGGAAACAAGGGCTTTCAGCCACAAGCTCATGAATAGAAGGTGGTCTGAGAGTTCAGTGAGCAGTGCTGGCTGCCTGACCTAAGAAAGGCCCTCGTTCCACTCAGTACCCTAAAAACAAAAATAAAACATAAGAATAATGGCATAAGTGTGTGTAATCTTGGTCCTCTGGAAATAGAACGTCATTCTGGTTACAAAGCAAGTTTGACACCAGATGGGTTACAGGAGACTTTGTCTCTAAAGACCAACACCAACCCAGCTCGGTAGTAGTACATGCCTTTAATCCCAGTACTCAGGTGGCAGAGGCAGATGGATCTTGAGGCCACTGTGGTCTACATAGTGAAACCCTGTCTCAAAAAAATAAAAACCTCAAAACCAAACCAGTAACATTGTGCCTGTCTAATAACTCAGTGGCCGAGAAAATTTTAAAGCAATAGAAATTGTATAAGAAAGCTAAATCTTAAGATGAGTTGCAGGTGGAATGCTACATAACATTAGAGGGACATTTCCCCACCCATAAATAGGGTCATGAGCAGAGACCTCAGCCTGAGATGCTGTGTTCTAGACCTTACAGACAACCATGACACCAGCAGGTGTGAAGGGAACATGCCTGTGATCTACCAGCACAGGCCCAAGGATGGAGAGCTAAGGGCAAGCTGAGTGAGGCATCCTTGGGCAGTGCTTCACTCCCGAGGACCCAGGATTCCAGACTGGATAACCCCACTTTCTGGTCTGAACACAGCTCACTCTCCCTGAGGCGAGCAGAGACACCTCTGAGCATCCATGTTTTACTGTGGCAGCCACTGTTCTCCTGGACTGGCTTTAAGGTAACTAGCTGCCTTTGTTTCCCATCCTGTCCACAGCTTCTGTCTTCTGGCAAGGTACATACCCATGTTTTCTGAGCACATAGTCTGAGGTGGGGACAAGTCTAAGCAGGTTACTCTTTCTAGTATTTTCAGTCAGCCTCAGAATAATCAGTCACAACTACGGCAATTTTGTCCTAATCTAGGGCAAAAAGGGCCATAACCCCACAAGGGACCTCCAGACAAACCCAAGACCCTAGGACGGCTGACAACATGGCACAGGCCAGCAGGTATGAAAGGAGGACTCTTCCTGGCAGGCCTGGGAGCTGCCATGTGGCTTCTACTCTCTGCACCTAGCCCCTGCCCTTCAGCTTAGTTCTGTTTCCCTGAGCAACTTCCATTCCTTCCTGCTCATAGTTTGGCTCAGGATGGTGATCCTGCTAGGGTCAGGAGAGTTCCCTGCTCTGTATCCTAGCCCTTAGCCCCCTTGCTAGGCTCCTTGTGCTGCCCTATTCAGGCTCTGCTCCTGTGACTTTCCATATTTATGAGCTAAACCCCAAGACCCTGCTCTATCTGTCCCAGAACTTCCCCACTCCCCTTAAACCCACCAAGTCACTAGCCACCATCACTAGTACAGATCTGGCTGTTTCATGCTGTCACCTGAATGAGTTGACATGGGTCTGGATACTCCCTCTAGAAGGGATGCCTCTACCCCACTGCCTCTTAGCACAACTCTACTCTCCTGTGATAAACCAGGTGTCCATCTCATTTGCTTCATGACCACTGTGGATGGATACCAGGAAAGCAGAAACAAAAGGTGTTCATTTCTGTAACCCAGGGCCAGGCACATCCCCAGCTTCCCCCACAAAGACTAAACAAAGACGGAGAAAAACCATCAGGAGAACCCCTGCACCTTTGGTGACCGTTTGCTTTTACCTGTCATTGGGGGTCAGCTGGCAGCGTCTGATGTCAGGCACAGATGTGACCCCACAACGCTTGTACTGCCCATCTCCAATGGAACGGGACACCTCCAGCACTCCCAAGACACGCCCGTCTCTAAAATGAGGGACAGGGTCAGACTCTCACTTGACAGGCCTCAGGTCTCTGAAAGCAGAGGTGCCTGAGAGCCAACAGGAGCTGAGTCCGACATTTATTTTGCTTAGTGTTCTGAGACAGGCTTTCTCTGTGTGGCCCTGGCCGTCCTCGAACTCACCCTGTAGAGCAGGCTGGCCTCGAGCTCAGAGATCCACCTGCCTCTGCCTCAAGTGCTGGGGCTGGGATTCGTACAATTGTGCACCAGCAGCAACAGTGGCCACTAACCTAACCATTGGCAGGCTCGGCAGTGAACCTCATCACAATGCCTATGCTCCCCTCTCCAGTTTCCCATGCCCAGTTATTGTGAAAGGATGGGGTGGATCCTAGCCCCTTAAATGATTGATCAATTCTGTAACCTGTGTTAAGGGGGCCAGGAAAGAGGGTGGTTCGCATTCCAATTGACTTGGCTAGGCTTAGAGGATCTCTGAGGTCTCTGAGGCTATGACTCCTAGATGCTGAAGCGATTTCACATCAGCAGTAGAACAACCACACTCATATTCTCACCCACTCTTTGTGATGGATAGGAAAAGAACAAGATAACCTGTAAACAGGAAGAGGCACCTAAGGCAGATACTATGACTAAAGAGAACCAATGAAGAGTCCCACAGCCCCCCAAAACCATCCTAGCCCAGGCTCTCATTGTGACCTCCTGGGCCCTGAGGCCATCATTTTTTAAGACTTACTAAATGCCAAAGCAGCATCACCGAGGTTTCTAAGTCACAAGTGAGATGCTGAACAGATAGACAGGTGAAACAGGAAGTTTCTCCTGGGCTGGTGCTGCTGTCCTGGAGGCAGAATTCACCCCAGCCTCAGTCCCAGGCACCCCCAGTGACTCAGTTCAGCCACCCTGAATGTTTTTTAATCTGTAAAGATTTCTGCCAGCACCTTGGAAAAGCAGAGAATTCTAGAACACAGATGAATAAAGCAAGTGCCCAGAAG